GAGCTCCCTCATCCTCCATAAACAACAATGTTCCTGACTCATTCAAATTCAAGAACAATACCAAAAAACATTCTGAATATAGACCATAAGTCGTCAGTGGTTCAATTAGAATATTATCATTCAACAAAAAGTCTTTTGTGCGCACATAAATCAAACAAATAAAGACTTGATTCTTCAGTTTCCTTTCCCTCAGTTTCAGTATAGAGCACGCGTTCATGTGTCACACTTGGTCACATTTCTGACATTTTACCTCTGATGCGTCTGTGCTTTGTTTCAAATGCAGGAAGTCTTTTGTGGGTATTCAGGGTGAACAGTGCTCATGAATGTGCGCAATATACTGACACTGAGGAGAAACTGTTGAATAAAGTCCTTATGTTTGTTTATGAGTTTATGAGTGTACAAAAGTATTCTTGTAGCTTGATAATATTTCGATTGAACCATTGAAGGCATAGGGTCTGTTTTGAGGATGTTTTCTTTTTCTTTTTTCTTTTTTTGTCAGGAACCCTATTGTCTGGATGAGGAAGCTCTATGGTGGCCGAAAAACTAATTAAAAGAAAAAATCTTAAAAAGCAAATTAAGAATGATCTTCATCAGTTTGACAGCATACAGGTTGCAAATCCTGACAACACATTAAGGAAATGCGATACAAATTCTCACAACACATGCAAATAGCATGGAACACAACTGAAATGTTTCAAGGGGACCCAAAAATGTGACGGACCAACCTTGGATTTACTTAGGCTGCGTCCGAAACCGCATACTTCCATACTATATAGCACGCTAAAATCAGTATGCGAGCTGAGTAGTATGTCCGAATTCATAGAATTCGAAAATCAGTAGGCGAGAAGCACCCGGATGACTTACTACTTCCGTCGAGATTCTGAAGTGTGCATCCCATGCACGCTGCGCTATCCCATAATGCCCCGTGAGAGAATTCATGAATGGAAGTGAGGCGACGAAACTGACACAGGTAGGTCACGTGACCATGACAAAATGACGGATGAAGTGCGTCCGAATTCCATTCATACTTTTCACATTTATACTGCATAGAACGTACTGTTCTAACGGCCGAGTAGTATGTTTAAATTCAAATGCAGTACCTACTGAGTAGTAGGCGGTTTCGGACGCAGCCTTATTGTGCGTTGGCTCGTGACTATATAGTCACGAGCCAACGCACAACTAATATTAATTAATATTAATAGTAATTAATATTCCTCAGTGAAGTTGTAAGTGATCTTTAAAATATGAGTTTTTTTTTCCTTATTTTAACATCCTGCTTTTACCATTCCCTTGTCTTTTGTATATTATTAGCCTAAATAACCATAAGTAGCTGGGTCTGTCACGTTTTTTGGTCCCCTTGAAACATTCATACATTGTGCTATTTGCTTGTGTTGTGATAAATTGACGTGCGTTTTCTTAATTTGTTTGTATTTTGCATGTGTTTTCTTCAATTGCAGCACATTAAGCTCTCTCAGCCACCATAAAGCTCTGAATTTTAATCCAATATCTCTTAATTTGCGCTCCAAAGATTAAAGAAGTTCTGAGAGTTTTTTGAGCTGCTTTTTATTTGCTAATCAATGTTTTTTAATGCATAACTAACTTTCTTTGGGTTTAGAATGACTTGAAGTGTGAATAAATAAGGGCAAATGTTTGATTACAGAGTGAACTAGGATATCTTCAAGATAAAGAAAAAAGAGAGTCATATAAATAGGCTACTTGATATATGTTTTTATAATCACCAGAGTGAGAGCGTCCATTTCTTCATCCACTTCCTGCGCACAGGCTTTCAGATTCTCCTTCCAGCGTGTGATGTCATTAATTCTGTCTCTAAGTTTCCGGGTGCTGTCATACTCATTCCAGCTTGTCTGTCATGCAAAAAATTTGTTTGATACATCCTTTTTTATTCTGCCAAACAACTTCCCACCCTCATCCTAAAGGGATAGTTCAGCCAAAAGGAACATTCTACAATAATTTATTCATCCTCCACTTGTTCAAATCCTGTTTAAGTTTCTTTCTAATGTTGAACACAAAGGAATATATCCTGAAGAATAATGGAAATTGACTTCTGTAGTATTATTGGATGTATTTTGTGTTTAAAAGAAGACTATTATAAAATACGCTATATTTATAAAACTATATAGCGTAAATTTTGAGAACCAATTGACTGCGAGTAAATGGTGAGTAAATTTTAATTTTGGGGTGAACTATCCCTTTAATAACATTACCTTATTGGTCGTTTCGTTACGCAGAGCTCTTCCTTCCTGTCGTATCTCGTGTGAAACATTGCGTTTGTGTTCAGCAGTATCTGACATTTGCTTATTGTTAGTTGCCCAGTCAGAAACACTGTAGCGTGAGGCTGGCTTCGAGCTTAAGGTGGCCATGTTTGCTGACACAGTATCTGATGCCATAGAAACAAGACAACATGAAGAAAAAAAAATAGTTCTGGTAAACAAAAACAAGGTTAGCTTTCTGATTCTATGTGCTTTACTATTCAGTTATTTTTCACTCATATTATTATTATTGATCAAACTGTCAGTAATGCTTATTCGGTTAATTATTCTGATGTCTACACTATAGTCTCCAGTATTTTAGAAAATAATGTGAACAGTTGTATTTGAACAGACACAGAGAGACACTAGGTGAACAAATTTGACAAGGCAGAATTAAAGATTACCAGAATCCATTACCTCCAGTTTATTTACACTAAATGTTTAATGCTACAATGAATAATGTCCAAACTTGTGTGCTTCGTGCTCTGGAAAGCATTTTGATTTTATATTAATGGCTACAGACATATAGCAGCCAAGTCTTCCATAGAAATCCACTCTATTTCACACAGAATGTTTTGTAAAATTATAGGTAATCAGAATTTTTTACTTAAAACAAAAGCAGCCATTTAAACATAGCCCCAGTATACTTGCTGATTGGTCAATATATCTACCATTTTATTTATAAGAACAGCTTTAATTATGAATATGTCATCTCCACATTCCACCATTCCAAACATGGCAACTTATTGGCATTCTTGAAACAATGCATCATCCCTCACAGTAAAAATGCATGGGTTTTTGATGATGTAACAACATTGTTTTAAAAATGTGAGCATGATTGTGTTTCTAATGTATTTCAACCAGAGATTTTAGTAGATACAATTTACTAGATACAAAACTATTTTTCTTTTTACTACTTTATCTAATTCTTCCACATTCTAAAAAGTGATTAGTTACTTTTAATTAAAAAACTGCTTAAAAACTCTTGCCTAAAAAAGGGACAACTTTACTTTATAATAGTGAGTACACCCATTGTAAATTCGACATGCCAAGTGAACTTAACTGAATTGTTATTATTATGCATTGCAGTTAATTTAATTAATAATTTTAAAGCATCTGATTAAAGTCAACTAATATCTATTTACAATGCATCTTTTGTCATTGTGTTGTTAAATTAGTAATATCATGGATGTGAAGTTGAAGTGCAGTGTGATGTCATCAAATTTGTTGAAGTGTGACATGCTTTAAAATGTATACATCTACCGGTGAATTTCGACTAGCTAGTTTATAGTTATTATTAAGGCTGACATATTCATAATTAAAGAAAAAATAAAAGCTGTTTCGTGTACAAACAGTGGAGCAGCCTATAACAGATTAAAACGTAATTAGCATAATGCAAAGTTTCATTAATGCTGCTAATCAGAATTATATAAACACAAACATTATATCATTATGTTTATATATATATATAGTGTGTGTGTGTGTGTGTGTGTGTGTGTGTATATATATATATATATATATATATATATATATATATATATATATATATATATATATATATATATATATATATATATCAGAATCTTTTCTTAACAATATATTGAAAATATATATTTAAAATGATTGTAGTTTTAAAGATTTGTTCCAAAGCAGTGCTATTAAAAAAAGGTGGAGAACGTATTCAGCGCCAACATATATAATCATATTTAAGATTTAAAAATTCATGTTAAAAAAAAGTTAACATGACGTTAGTCTACGTGCTATATCTAAACCATCAAAAACATTTATCTGACTTACCGGGAAGACTGATCTTTTAGTGTTGTCTTTTGCTGTTGGGAGTCCAGCAGTAAACAGTTAGCGGGTCTCTTGGTAACGGGGCGACGCAACCGTAGCTTGTTCAATAATTTAAATAGCATAGCAACCCTCAACAATTACTCATAGACGGTTTAATCGCCTGTGACATACTGTGTCCGTTACCGATCCTCTCTATCCCAGACATGTAATTATTTGTACTTGTTAAACTAAAGTGAATATCATTTAGTACATGCATTTTTGAATATTAACTGGAAGGTAAAATTTTGACTTAAAATAAACACCCAAACCAGAACATTCCAACAAAAAGTATAGCAACACATTGGCAACATTATAGGATCACATTTAGGAATTATTAAGAATTTTTACTTGTTTTTTCAAAAAACAATCAGATAATTGTAAAGTCACTGCAAAAAAAAAAAAAAAAAAAAAAAAAAAACTTCTTACCTGGATTTTTTGTCTTGGTTAGTTGAAATACCTAAAAAATCTTAAATCAAGAATTTTGTAGACAAGCAAAACTTATTGTCTTGTTTTAAGAAATAATATGCCAAAATGAATTGAGTTTTCTTCTTTAAACAAGCAAAATAATCTGCCAAGGGGGTAAGAAAAATAATCTTTTGTCAAAAGGAAAACAAATTTATTTTTCTTACCCCATTGGCAGATTATTGGCAGATTATTTAACTTGTTTTAAGGAAAAACTCACTTAATATTGGCATATTATTCCTGAAAAAGACATTATGTTTCGCTAGCCTAGAAAATGCTTCTTGATATAAGAATTGTTAGATATTTGGACTAAAAAACAAGACAAAAAATCTAAAAAAAAAAAAATGTGCAGTGTTGGTCAGTGATAATATTTGTATATTATTTTGCCTCTATATGGCTACAGACTGGGAAAAAAGACAAGACGAGAAGAGAAAATGATGTGGAACAATTTTAATCAAATCAGTATAAAAACATTTTTAAATATCTATAGTTTAATAATTGCTTTCATATTGCAGATTTATATTAATCCTCTCAGATTGCTTTACCTATTTACATTGAGGTTTATATTTAACTATTATTTATATTCATTCATATTTGTTTCAGAGCCTTAAAATAAATAGAATGATTATTGCAGGTGTTTATTGGTTACAGTCTGTGTCAGATAGATATATGTCATATATATATTTATTTTCTTCACAATAACAAGAAACTAAATTTGTAATACGGATGCAGTCAGATCAGTTCTAAAGATAGTCCATCTCCGCTGTCTCAATATGTTTTGTGATTATGTCCAGTATATATTTTTCATTTGCTGCTTCTTTCAGGTAGAAATGAGACCCAGGAAGCATCTGCACAGTGAAGTCACCGCTAGTCATGATCTTCCAAGCTGTAAAGCAAAAGAGACAAATGAAAGGGATAGCCTCAAAAATAAATATTAGCTATTTACTTATCCTCAAGTGGTTATGAACCTTTATAAGAAACTGCCTATGTTATTCTCACCTTGTAAGTCATGAGGTGAATCCTCTTTTCCATCAAAACATGATACTGGACATGACAGAAAGGGTTTTGATGGTCTGCTACACCTGTTGAACATACAGTATTCCACGTAATCTATACATTTTATTTAATACAGCATACAATTACTGGCTAATTCATTAGGTAAACCTTGCTTGTACTGGGTTGCAGCCTTAATGCCACAATATGCATGATTTTTTTTATCATTATATATATTATCGTTACATATTTTACTGACTTACTGAACATGATTCCTATGTGAGTCCCCTAAGACAGTGGATCTCTATCTCAAACTCTCCAAGAAGAAACTGTGTTGAGATCGACATGTTCCCTACATAGTGGTCACTAAATAATAATAATATAAATTATATAAAAACACATATATATATGTGAATATAGAAAACACTTTTTAAAACTGGAATCATGGCAGAATATCCTGTGATGTCCACTCCGCAGTTTAAAGTAAAGTGTGTCAAAAAAGTCAAAGAAAGATGGAGGAAGTGAGTTGCTACTATTTGATTGGCTGATTAGATGCTTCCATCAAAAAGCAACCTAATTACATAACTGTAGCGGTATTGCATAAATATAATGAAAACATTTTGAATATCTGAATAAGGTGCATTGAGTTTAAGGGGACATTATATCATTCATGGGAGATAGGAGTGTGGCAAAATTAAAAATTAATTTTGGAAATAACTGAAAAGGATGATAGAGAAGATACTATGGGCCCTATCATACACCCGGCGCAGTGTGGCGCAAGGCGCGGCGCAATAGTCTTTTGGTAGTTTAAGCTTGGCGCAAGAGTGGTTTTGAGGCGTTGCGCTACGCTGTTTAAATAGCAAATGCATTAGCGCTCATTTGTGCGCCCATAGGCGTTCTGGTCTAAAAAGGAAGGCGTTCTGAGGCGGACCGCTGGCGCGTTGCTATTTTGAGAAACTATAGTAGATTTTTCATTAGACCAAAACTAACCCGGTCTAAACTCAGGCGCAGAGTTGAGCCTTGCTTACACACTGCTTAATACGCACAAGAGAGCAATAGGCAAATATCTTTACATATGAAAAAATTTTAATATTAAGGATATACATAAGATATAATGAGGATAGATATAGAGTATAAATATAAAGGATTAAAATATTACAAAACATTATTTTCTAGCCTACATAAATATAAAAAAATCACTGCTTTTATGTCTTCTTCATCTCGGGAGGCTTTTTCAGTTCATTCATAACAATTTGCTTTTGTATACTGTTATTATTATTAACAGTATTATTTATTATATCCATATTTATATTTGTTTTATTAAAAACAAGCTTAGATTTGCCCACCTGTCAGGTTTTAGACCATTAGGGCACAGCATGTGTTTTAGGATATAACTCAGGTTTTTGAGCACATTTTGTCATTATTGTTTATTTATTCGTTTGCTGGAAATTATAACTGAATTTAGAAACAGTTTTGAAACGAATATTTGCGCTTAACAAACAAAATTATTTATTTATAGACTAATTGATGTCTGTGCGTAAAGGTTTCCCTATCCAGAAGCGAAAGTGAAAGTAGATCACTTATCTCTCATTCTCATGCAGTAGATGCTGTTTAACAGTTTTCTGTTAAAAAACTGTCAACTGTTTGCTTGTGAAATGCTCATTTTTTCCACTTAGACTTACTTTGCGTCCTGTAAACAGCGAATGCGCTCTTGGCGCGACGCAGATGGCTCTTAAAGGGAATGGGAGATGAGACTCTAATTGTTTTATTCTCAAAACACACCTATAACTCATTAAGAAAATAAACTCAACCCTTTTAGACCATACACCTTGGCGCAAAGCGGATTTTCCCGTCCTTAAATTAGCAAAAACGCGTTCTGACACGCCCTGAAAGCGTTTGCGCCCTGCGTTTTGCGCTCTGCGCATGGACCGTCAAAATAGAGCCCTTTGTGTCAATATTCAACTATCACCTCTGATTTTTTAAAAAAATGTTATTTATTCCCTAAGCAAATCAAGGTTAAAAAGACTAAATGTATATTTATAAACATGTATTCTTCAAGCTAAATGAATTATTTCTTTAAATTTTAAAAATGTGTGTACATGGGATGAATGGGAAGCATGAGATGAAAAGATAACGTACATATTAAGAGATGAATACAACTATATATTAAGAGATAAATACGTCAATCTTTGAGGGAGTTTGGGGACCTTTCAAATTGTTCCTAAATGTGGTGGAGCTGGAAATGTGTTGATTGATGAATAAGAAGAGAGGTCGTAAATATTCATTTATTTATTTTTATTTCGACTTAGTCCCTTTATTAATCAGGGGTCACCACAGTGGAATGAACTGCCAACTTATCCAGCATGTTTTAATCTCCGGATGCCCTTCTAGTTGCAGCCTAACACTGGGAAACACCCATACACTCTCAATTAATCTCTCTCATTCACACACAAATACACTACGGCCAATTTAGTTTATTCAATTCAACTGTACCTTTGGACTGTGGGGGGAAACCGGAAAACCCAAAGGAAACTCAAGCCAACATAGGGAGAACATGCAAACTCTACACAAAAATGCAGGCTGACCCAACCAGGGCTCGAACCAGCGACCTTCTTGCTGTGAGGCGATCGTGCTACCCACTGCGCCACCAGGACGCTAGGTCATAGATATGATGTAAAATACTGAGATTTTTATTTGTTCTCTTTTTTTGTTTTGTTGTTGTTTTTACTTGTTGTTGTTTTATACTGTATTATCTGAGTGTAAAGTTAAAATGCAATAAAGATATTAAAAAAGCAACCTAATGAAGTGGCTGTTGGGTCAGTGAATTTTTTGGTCATTGGATTTTTATTTTAAAAACAGATATTGAAAAACAGGGGCGAGGCAGTGGCGCAGTAGGTAGTGCTGTCGCCTCACAGCAAGAAGGTCGCTGGGTCGCTGATTCGAACCTCGGCTCTGTGTGGAGTTTGCATATTCTCCCTGCCTTCTTATGGGTTTCCTCCGGGTGCTCCGGTTTCCCCCACATTCTAAAGACATGCGGTACAGGTACAATTGTCCATAGTGTATGAGTGTGTGTGTGGATGTTTCCCAGAGATGGGTTGTGGCTGGAAGGGCATCCGCTGCATAAAAACTTGCTGGATAAGTTGGCGGTTCATTCTGCTGTGCCGACCCCGGATTAATAAAGGGACTAAGCCGACAAACAAATGAAAATGATTTTTGTTTTTGAATTTTAAAACGATTATCAAAAAACGTCTCGTTTTTCTTTTTCATGGTGAAAAACGAAAAAACTAAATTCAAAAATTATTTCATTTTCATTTTTTATTTCAAATAACAAAAAATAAAATCACCAGAAACAAAAATGAAGGCTTCTTTTTTATATTTCAAAACCAAAAAGGCCAACACCAATTTTTCACCATGAAATATTCAAAAACGAAAATCAAAGAACGGCTTGTTTTTGTTTTTTTAATATCTGCTTTTAAAATGAAAATCCAATGACCAAAAGATACACTGACCCTGTTGAGTGTATGTTTGTAATTTTTAATTCCATGGGATTATAGTACTGTGCTCTCTGTGTCTGTTGTGTCTATACCCACCTATAGCTGTCTGCTACATAGAGGTCTGCTTTCAGCGCAGGCAAGAAGAGTTTGGCGAGCTCAGCATTGGCCAGTATCTCTGGTGGTGTGCCGCCAATAGAAGTTACCCATATAAGAAACTCATCATCTGACAGATGACTTCTTCTTGGTGCCTGCAGTCTTGCCTCAGACTGAAAAGTATAATTCAATCATAGTAAGCATAGTTCAACCAAAAACGAAAATTTCTCACCATTAACTCTCACCCAAGTGATGCTTTATGAATTGATTTTTTTCTGTTCAACACAAAACAAGATATTATAAAGACAGCAATTAACATCCATAGTAGGAAAAAATTAAATGGAAGTAAATAGCTGTTTTTTCCAGCTTTCTTCAGTATGTATTCCTTTGTATTCAAGAGACAGGTTTGGAACAAGTGAAGGATGAATAAATAATTTCAGAATGATAAATATGGAGTGAACTATCCCTCTAATAGGCATTTAAATCTATATAGTATAAGTATATATAAGTATAATATACATTTTTAAAGCATAATAAATATTATGTAAGTATTATAATAATAAGTATTACAAAATAAAATATTTAAAAAGTTAATATAACACTTAATGTTGTTACCTTCTTATGAATTTCGATAATTTTTTATTTTTGAGTATGTGTTTCCATGAAATGATTCTGTCTTTTTTCTATAATATTCAAATCCATTGACAGCTGCCAGATGTGAAAGTGACCACACTCACATATGGTGCAGAGGCTCCAGAGAGAAACATGTGGATCGGCTCAAGGTTGTGGACCTTCTTGACATGCTCAGCAAAGGCGAAGCAGATCATAGCTCCAAAACTATAGATAGAAGTTGCACAGAACATGTGCTTACTTAAGAAGGTACATATTACGATAGCATACCTACACCTAGACCAGAATAATAGGTCCCAACCTATGCCCGAAGAGTGCAAATGGCTTTTCTTTAAGTTGTGGAAGAAGGACACCGATGACCTCATCAAGGATCTCCTGCATATTTTGAAAAAATGGTTCCTTGGTTCGCCCTTCTCTGCCTGGCAGTCTAACGGAGTACACTGAAAATAAATGAAGAGTTAAAATAATATAAATATAATTATACAACAGTTCTGTCTGGTTGTCAAATCTGATTGGCTGATAGCCGTGCAATATTCAGCAATATCAGAACTCCTACAGCCTCTTTACCCTTTGAGTATTACTCCGCCCACATACAGCCAGCAAAAAGCAGACACCACAGATCTAAAGTTTAAAAGATGCACGCCTAACTGTTTAACTGTCAGCTTATGATTTGAATCCGGAAGAAAGTAGTTCCTCATACAAAAGGGTTTTTGAAACTCTCCATGTTTGATTTTGTTTTTATATACACAATTATGCCGTCAAACTGTTGTATAAACACAATATCACACTCGCAGCAGTGCGATATGGCTGTATATCGGCACTGGTGGGGGCACTACGGCACGGGGCTGCAACGCACGCCTCCCACCAGTGCCGATATACAGCCATATCGCACTGCTACTCGTGTGATGTTGCTTATAGCATTTTGTATATATATATATATACTAAATGCAAGTTCACTGCATGCTTTCATGTTTTAAATAACTTATAAAAAAATGTTCAATCATGTTTAATCATAACAGATACATTTATGCTAAAAACAGCATTCTTATTCTGACCTGTACATCTAATGAACCTAGTGATTTGAAGAATAAGGGCACACACAATTTTGATTAATAAGCACTTTGGGGCTGCACTGTGATCCACAAATAAGGTCTCGTAATATGTCTACAAATTATTCATTTTCTAAATATCCCTGGACACATTCCAAAAAAAAAAATTAAAGGCTTTATTGCTCTTTTATTTTTTTTATATTGTAAACTATATTATTTTTTTACATTAAACTATATTGTTTTTTTTGGTCTTCGATAACGATTAAACCCCTTAAAAATCTATCTTTTAAGTTCCTGAGCTTATCTAACAAAATAACTTATGATAACGATCCAAAAACTCAAATTCATATGTTATAGAAAAATATTAAATACTAATTTGAAAAGGATGAAAAAGCAAGAGAAGGAAAAGAAAAGAAAAAAGAAAAATTGAGTTAAAATTTCATAGGTTGTAATTTTTATTTATTTATTTTTATTTTTTTGCAATATTTTGCTTGAGTTTAATTTTATTATCTTTCCATTTCTAAATGTTTGGTGACAAAAATATTATTTTTATAAATATATCCTTTAATAAATCTGTTTTGTTTAAATGCACCAAAATACATTGCCTATTTTAACTGAGAAATGGATACAAGTATTCATTTTCAAAATGGGGTGTACTCAATTACGCTGAGCACTGTATAGGAATCAGTTATTATTTAATTTACCTTACTAACAATAAATTATGACATTAAAATGAACAAATATAAAACGTAATTACCTATAATTATAGGTAAATTTAATTATTTATCCTTAATAGTTAATATAAAAAAGGTATACTGCCATTTTAAATAGGGAGCTTACCTTCAATAGAGCTGGGGAGAGTTTTGGCCCAGCGAGCATAGTGGATAGAGCCTCCACCTGCCCATGGAAAACAGATGAGACGGACAGAAGCATCCGGACACTTGTTGAAACAGGTTATGACTTTATCCATCCCTCTGAAACGTTATTCAGAACGTTAGATTCAGAACAATAAACCACAGACAAAACTGTAATACAAAATACCAATAGGAAATATGCATGTTGCCAATTAAGGAGATATGAAAAAAGGTCGATCAAAAACTGTGGTCCACTTGTTTACCTGGAGAGAATATTCCACATGATAGTGAGCTACACAAAGTTACTGATCTCTCATTCAAGCCTAATCAATCACATTCAAGAGAGAATCGACTCTTTAAACCATTTTATTATGTTGTGATCATTCCGTCGTTGCTCAATATTAATATTTCTGCTATTGTATTAAGTAAATGAATATTTAATTTATGATTATTTGAGACGGGAATTTATTTAAATGGCTGAATCCTATATAAATTATGTCGAGACTGCAAAATAACTACTTAAAAAACTATTAGTTACTGTTCTCACGTTTATGGTGCAGAAAATATTTCCTGTACAGTCTTCTTCTCTGGTTATTACAGTCACACTAAGCGCTGCTGCCATCTGTAGACCACAGTTTGCTTTCTCAGCTGATGATGTTAAAACCTTAAAACAAACACACGTGTATATATTTTTCTACAGGCCTGTAGCCAGCCTGGTAAAAGGGGTGGTTCTTTTCTGGACTTTTTTGCAGCTGTTCGCCTCATTTTGTATGTAATTATTTAACTTGTTATTAAACAAATTATTAAAAATTAAACACTTAATTTAGTAACATTTTAAGCACTATTTTTTAGCTGGATTAGCTTGTCGGATGGTCATCAAAACCACAATTTCTGATGTAACAAAATATTTCTTAGAGATTTAGAATAAAGAAAAAAAACATCATCAAAAAAAAAATCATATATCATTAGAAAAAAATAGGAATCTGTTAAAGCTTTAAATTAAAAACTGTAGCCTATTGTCATTTACCAGACAGATAATAAACTGGCTAGCACATTCAACTTTCCTCAGTCAGAAATTGGCTTAAAAAACATAATAATAATCATAATTAATAATGTAGCGCTTCACATTTTTTTTCTATCCTCTCCTGTAAAAAAAAAAAAAAAAAGTAAATTTGAAAATTCATGGTTAACAACAAAAGCCAAATTAGTATTCAAATTAATTTTGATATATGGTGCGTTTTTGATGCTTCACATCTTTTTATAGGTCTTTTTTTTTGTTTCAATATATAGCATCCAAGATTTAGAATAAAAGTTACTTTTAAAGTGTTTTCTCTACTTAAAAACAATACAGTAGCGAAAGATGACTTCTCTTTTGTCAAATCATGTGTTTTCTTGCACAGCTGGATGTTGAACTCGTGAAAAATATCAGTAACACTTTATAATAACTATACACTATGAATCATTTACTAAGCATTAGCATCTAGTGAAATCATTATTTGTTAAGCATTAACTCCACATTAATAAACATTAGTAAGCAGTTTATAACTGAAGCTAAATGCTTTATTCTTCACGTATAACCGCATTGATAATGTGCTTAATGATTGTATTTTCATACTTTGTTTATGATTTATATTTCATTACTAAATTTAGTATTGCATTATTTACAAACCATTTGTATTTAAAAGTACCTGGAGGTTTTTAGGATCTTTCAGAATGAGTTAATAGATTATTAATAAACTATTCAAATTAACATTTAGAAATCTTATTATTCAGGCATATAGTAATGATTACTAAGCATGTTAATAAATGCTTTATTAACAGAACTTCAGTTTGCAGTTTTGTGACCTAATTTAAAGTGAGGACTATTCATGCTTTATAAATCCCTTATAAATGACAATTAAAGGCTCATTATCAAATGAACAATAATCTTTGCAATCTCATCTAAAAAGTAAAATTACTTAAAAGTGTAAACATTGCTGAATAACAGGAGAGTCAAAATATGACATAAAATTGGATAAAACAACAACAGCATAATAATTTAACAATATAATAAGATACAATGTTTAAACTCTACAGTGATTTTATTTTAGATAAGGTTGCAAAGATTTATTTTTCATGTGAAGTACAGTTTTATTTGTGCATCTTTAATTGAGTGAATAATTTGTCATTTTTCCTGTTTAGAATAAAACTGAGTCTTTAATTGTCATTTATAAGGGATTTATAAAGCATAAATAGTCCTCACTTTAAATTAGGTCACAAAACTGCATGAAAGTGAGTTAATAAAGCATTTATTAACATATATAGTAACCATTAATATATGCCCGAATAATAAGAATTGTAAATATTGATTTCAACAGTTTATGAATCATTTACGTACTCATTCTGAATTATCTTTAAAAAAAAAACACCAACTATGCTTAAATAAATGGTTGGTAAATGATGCAATACTTAATTTAGTAATGAAAAATAAATCATTAAAATATGAAAGTTCAATTATTAAGCACATTATAAATGTGTTTATAAGTCAGGAACACAGCATTTGTAGCTTCAGTTATAAACTGCTTACTAATGTTTATTAATGTAGAGTTAATGCTTAACAGGTAATGAATTCACTATTTACTAATGCTTAATAAACGATTCATAGTGTGTTGTTATTATAAAGTGTTACCAAAATATCTGTAAGCATTGAACTAAACTGATTAGCTGAAGTCACACAGAAGCGACAGCCAACAGAGGATTTGGCTTGGTCTTAAAGCCTTATCATATGGGCTATTTTCACTATTTATGATGGCATAGCAGTCAAAATATGACAAATGAGCTCATTTATGGGACACATTCTGGACTTTTGTCAATGAGGGGTGGGTCTTCTGAACCAGGCTATGGGCCTGTTTTATATCTGCTGTGTTTGTTTTTATATTTGCTGTTTAAATATAGGCTAAATGTAAAACAGCCACAAAGATCCACTAAAGAACACTAAATGTGATTTGCAGAGTAAAAGACAAAAAGGACAAAGAACAAGGTATATTTAAAAAGGATCAAAATAGACAACATAATACTGTATCGATGACATGGCGGCTCAGTTATCACCTCACAGCAAGAAGTTCGCTGGTTCGAGTCCTGGCTGAACCAGTTGGCATTTCTGTGTAGAGTTTACATGTTCTCCCTGTGTTCACGTGGGTTTCCTCCGAGTGCTCCGGTTCCCCGACAGTCCAAAGACATGTGTTATTGGAGAATTGAATACACTGTGTGTACATGTGTGGAAATGAGTGTGTATGGGTGTTTCCCAATACTGGGTTGCAGCTGGAAGGGCATCCCCTGTGTAAAACATATGCTGGATAAGTTGGCGTTTCATTCCGCTGTGGTGACCCCTGATGAATAAAGGGACTTAGCCTATAAGGAAAATTAATGAATGATATACTGTATGACTTAGTAACATACTGTATAAGGTGAGAGTTAGAAAAGGTGTTCAACACTACTGTAAATCTTCCCATGTTGTTTTTATGTTACTATATATCTTTTATGATTTTCTTTTGTAAGAAAAGGGGATAAATATTGTGACTTGATTAAATTAATTATAAGAAAAACACTAAAATAAGGTTTCTTTTATTAACATCAGCGAACAACCTAAAACAATACAATATTTAAGTCTCAGCATTATTAAAATCCATTTTTGAGATCCTTTTATTGAGGACGAAACCTGCATTAACAATAAGTAAATATGCAAATATATAAATAAATGAGTAAATAAATCCACAAATCCCTGCATAAATAAAACAGTAAAAAAATAATTAAATAAATATGCAAATATATAAATAAATGAGTAAATAAATCCATAAATCCCTGCATAAATAAAACAGTAAAAATAAAAAAAAATAAATATGCAAATATATAAATAAATGTTTTTTTTTTAAATACACAAATTTCTGCATAAATAAATATATAAATATTCCCAGTATTGGGTTGCAGCTGGAAGGGCATCCGCTGTGTAAAACATATGCTGGAATAGTTGGTGGTTCATTCTGCTGTGGCAATACCAGATTAATAAATGGATTAAGCTAAAAGACAATGAATGAATGTATATAAAAATAATTGATAGTGCGGGCAGGTAAATAATTAAATTACACGAATGTTGCGGGAATAAAAAAAAAAATGCTAAACTGAAAGTCTATTTCCCCCACTTTCAAACGTTTATTCATTCCTGAACGCAGTTCCATACTTACTTTTCCTCAGCTTTACATGCTAATGAGAGGCGGTGTGTCAATCATCAGAAGCCAGTCAAAAAAAATCCAATGCAAAATTTTTCTAACAATTAATCAGTGATGGCATAAAGACTGCTTTCTGATGATTGCTAGACACCCTCCCATTGGTTCATACGTCTTAAACTCAATTCCGGGAGGGCCACAGCTCTGCACAGTTTTGCTCCAACCTTACTCTAACACAGCTGATCTAAATAATCAAGGTGTTCCAGAGTAGTCTTGAACACCTTGATTAGTTGGATGAGCTGTGTCTGATTAAGGCTGGAGCAAAAGCTGCGGCCCTCCAGGAATTGAGTTTGAGACCACTGCATTAGCATGTTGAGCTGGCAAAAGTAAATAACTGTTCAAAGAGGGGTTCTTAAACTGTTCTTATCCCTCCAACATCTGTGTAATTTATTTATTTACTTGCACACACTATTAATTATTTATATATTCATTAATGCAGGAATTTGTGGATTTTTACTTATCCATTTATTTATTTATTTGCATATGTATTTATTTATTATTTTATTTATGCCGGGATGTATGGATTTACTTACTCATTTAAATATATATTTATTTATTTATTGTTTTTGCAGGTTTCATCCTCCATATCCTTCATCCTACTGAGTTTACAAACAATAGTCAAGCTAAACTAAACCAAGTTAAACTAAAATGAACAAATAATTTCATATTAGTTACGTTAAAGAAGGAATAATATAACTAAACAAACATATTTTCCTTATAAGTTCATGTCAGTGTTACCCAAAGGGAAAAAAACAATTACATTCTAAACATTGTAAAGTCTTACCAAATTATAGAGCTTTCTTCTTAATATACAACATTTTATAGGCAGTTCATCTGTGTTCCCAAATTACACGTTAATTAACAATCAAAGGCGGATCAAATAGATGACATTACTAGGAAGTGACGGTGTTTCCTGCGTTTGGTATTTCCTGTGGGTCTCCCTTACTTATTGTTGCCAGGTCCGCGTAGTATACGCGACGTCATGCTTGTTGCTTCACAAACTCTCTTTTAGATACGGCGACTAACAATTTTGGGATTTAATCCCACAACATATGTAAACAAAACATGAAAAATATTCTATTATGTTTTTAGAGTAGGTTTTAGAAATAAAATTCGCTTTTCCAAATAAATGTAATTGTACCAATTTTCTTGTTTATTACAAATCTGGCAACACCCCTGACTGTAAAGAGATGGTAAACCCAAGGCAAACCGGTAACACACCGATACTTGATCAGACGTCAACGGCCGCAAGCGAACTCGACAGGAATAAAAGACACACGTTTTGACTCGGCGAGGGATGTGAAGATATAAACTTCAAATCTGAGCGCATGTCTTTAAAATATAAGAGCTTGTCACTTTAAAAGACACACCGCGAACGCTTCGAGGCTCCTGACAAACTCTGTTTCGCGATGGCTGTTAGAAATATTTCCTTCGGAGTCTTTTGGCTTGTCAGCTGGTAGCAATTACGGCTCTACGGCATACGGCGGGAGCCACGGCTGAAGGTCGGTGCTTTTTGCTTGACTGATTCGCTACGGGCTGTGTGAAGCTCAGAACCTCCGAGCGGCCCGTTTCAATACCCGCGGTAGAAGCCGGTGTGTGTGTCGGTCGTTCGGTTTACAGTGGACATTCAGCGGCTTTACACGAACACCGCTCATCTGGTATTTGATCCCCCGAAGCCGGCTAGAATCCGGACAGAGACCTCATGAATGGAAATCGGAACTACAGGTAAGTTACGTCACTCTTTGATGCTTTCACTCCAGTTTATTAGGATTTTATCCCGAACTGTGACGTATTGAGTTGGTGTAACTTTGTTGCGTCCACCGTCAGCTCAACCCCCCATTCATTGCTCAGCAAACGTCCTTGGTGAACTGCTGCAGCTTTTCAGATAAGAACGAGCTTTCACAGTGAGCCATTTTACTACTCGTGAACGTTTGGGCGTAGCAACCAAATTCGTGTGAGGGTTTGGTTAGGGTTTTGGCTTTTTTTTTTTTGGTTTATGGAAGATCCTGACTCATTTGGTCTGCTGACGTCACGCGTTGTGGCGCAGCTGTCACGCACAGGTGTTGCGTGCGTCAGGTGCGGCGATGCTGGTGGGTGCTTGTTTGATGCGGGGGAGGGGCGGGTTTCTGGTTGTCTGTTGTTGCCATGACGACTGACCTTGAATCACTGCTTTATCAATCTGAACGATCATGTTTTTTGGAATTTATTGTGTATTTTACTAGGTTCATTTTTATAAAGTTTCTTATTTAGTGATTCCTCAGAATTGATGAGCCGTTTTTAGGGGCGTCTGTCCCCCAGAGGAATTCCCCAGGAAGGAAAAGATTGAGATCTTTAACTCTGATAATGTTTTGCAAATATTTAAGCAAATTTACCTGAACAGCCGAATGACTGTTAAAACAGTATTGTATCTGATTAGCAGGTATTTAATAAAGATAAATTATACAATTTAAATTTTATAATTAATGACTTTCTAACTTTTGATTCATTACCATTTAGCCTACTTTCGGATTTTTTGTTTTATTTTATTTATTTATTTTATCTATTTTGGTATGTCCCAAATTATGTGTTTTATTTTGGCTAGTATAAAAGCAGTTTTTAATTGTTTAAAAAACATTTTAGGGACAAAATTATTAACCCCTTTAAGCTAATTTTTTGATTATCTACAGAAAAAACAATCATTATACAATAACTTGCCTAATTACCCCAACCTGCCTAGATAACCTAATTAACCTAGTTAAGGCTTTAAATGTCACTTTAAGATGTATAGAAGTGTCTTGACAAATATCTAGTCAAATATTATTTACTGTCATCATGGCAAAGATAAAATAAATCAGTTATTAGAAATTAGTTATTAAAACTATTGTTTAGAAATGTGTTGAAATTATCTTTTCTCTGTTAAACAGTAATTGGGGAAAAATTTAACGGGGCTAAGAATTCAGGGGGGCTAATAATTCTGACGTCAACGGTAGATCTAAAATAACTCGTGTAACAAATGTTTACCTCGTTTTTAGATCATTCAAAAACAAATAACAACAATGGCCCTTTAACTGGCTGCTCTACCAAATGGTTGACCATATTTCGACTGTTTTAAATGATGACTGTTAAAGTCATCTAAAGAATGACTGTTTTCAATACTGGTTTAGACACACAGCATTGTTGGTTTACAAGAAAATCAATCAAACTCAATCCGGTTGCACTACTACTACACTTATTTTTTTTTTCTTTTAGTAAAAATATATTAAATGAGAATCTGAAATATTTTATGGCTTACTTCAAAATAAATAAATGATTTAGTTTTAAAAAATATTTTATTTAGATTGTTTTAAATAAATTGGTCATACACTTCTTCATATTTTCAGATTTTTTTTATAGTAGATGTAGTATTAAGTCTGTTACTTTTACCATAAACCAACATATCGACCTCTACTAAATAGTAGAAGAATACTTGACGTTTTAGAAATTATAGGATGTGTTAGGGAAAAAATGCATTGCATGTGTTAACTAGCAGCATTAGGAGTTAAGAAGTGCAATCCTTTTTTTTCTTTTCTTTTTTTTGGTGGGGTAGTAAAATAAATTATAATTGAGGGATAACACTAAATTTTGGTACTTAATTTTGTTCCCATACTAGAAACTCGGATAAAAAAGCACAGATCCTACTTTAAGGGTGTTTTATTATGTGTAGTTTAAGCAAAATGTTAAGGAAAATCAATAAATGAAATAAGAAATTCGTCACAATAAAACAGTTTGTCTCGCTCAAGATAGATCTGAATCAGCAGATCTTATTTGTGTGCATGCGTGCGTGTGCGTGGGCGTGTGTGTGTGTTCGTGCGTGTGTGTGTGTGGTTTTGTGATGGAAGAGTTCCTAAGCTGTTTTAAAGAATTCCTGTTACTCATTTTCACATTCTCGAACAGACAAAAACCTATTTTTTTGGTTTCAATCAAACAAGCCAAGAGAAGCTAGAAGTGTGAAAACAGTAAAATTACACACTTTATGAAATATAAATTTTCATTCATTCATTCATTTATTTTCGGCTTAGTCCCTTAATTAATCTGGGGTCGCCACAGCGGAATGAACCGCCAACTTATCCAGCATATGTTTTACGCAGCGTATGCCCATCCAGCCACAACCCATTACTGGGAAACTCATTCAGTCAATTTTAGCATACCCAATTCACCTGTACCACATATCTTTGGAATCTAGAGAAAACCCACGCAAACGCTGGGAGAACATGCAAACTCCACACAAAAACGCCAACTGACCCAGCCGAGGCTCGAACCAGCAACCTTCTTGCTGTGAGGCGAACGTGCTACCCACTGCACCATCGCAATATGGATTTTTCATGGATTTTAAATTCAGTTTGAATCCAAACGCCTTTACACATCTTGACCTAAATTTTTAAAAAGCAAAAATATTATGAACTGAGTTTATCTTTTTAGTAACCTATCAGTTTGTAGCTATGACAGTAAAAATAATGACTACTTCTGATAATCAGCAAGTGTTATTAGTGCCACCAATCTAACAAAAAACGAATTTGGCAAAAATGTAACCAGATTTGAGAATACATTGGTCCGTTATTACTAGAAGCCAATTGCGGCTTAAAGTCTGTTTAAACACTCTCTGACAACTTTAAATTCTTCCGCTTGACTAGCTTTAAATAATTAAACGAGATGCGTCTCATTCCCTGGATGAGCTGAAGCCTTGTAAATGTGCCAGTCACCTATTTGCCAGTTAAGTGAGCATTACAATTGAAGCAAGAGCTCAACAATAGGCTTTCAAACTGATCGGAGTGTCTGTTACCTCATCTCTGCCAAACATGCCCTTCTTTCTTAGTCTATGATGTCACAAAACATCATAGACATCATGTCTATAATTAGAACAGATTTCAGATAAAGTGAGAAAAATGGATGAATTTATGGTGTAATAGTCTGATTCGTGCTTGAATGCTCTTGAGTAAACGCACATGTGTGACTTGGATGATCAGCTGTACCTGTGCCTATATATAGAAACCGCAGTTTCTCCTTTAATTGGTTGTTGGTGTAGTTCTGGTTGCCATGGCAAGAAGAAGCCACTTGAGTGCCACTAGCATAGCAACAGCACACTGGGAAGTGTAAGAAAGCAGCTCAGACGAATTCCCCTCACACACCTCTCAGTAACAGTTTCATTCTGTAAACCCCCCTTTGAAGTGTCTTTAAAAGAGCAGAAACGCTTTCACCCAGTGTTACACTGATGTAATAATGCAATGTGATGTAAGGGATGATATTCAAAGTGAAAAGGCATCAACTGAAGCAGGTCTAAATAGCAGTGCAGAAAGTTTGTTTACATATTAACAATATGCATGCTGTGTGTAAGTGAAGTCAAGTCATATTAATGGCAATTATTTTTGGTCTAATCATGTCATCTGCAAATGCTTATCTTACCAAAATAATATTAATCTTATTATGTGTGGATATGACAGTTTTGGATTTTGCTTTCAGACCTTTTATGATTGTAGTCTAGACATTTGTAGTAGTCTAAGGATTGTAGTCTTTGTACTTTTAATATTATAAAATGATTATGAATTAGGGGTTGTTTACATTTTTGTTTTATCCAGGACAAAAGCAAACAAAAAATAGAAATAAATTAAGCTAAATAGTCCTGGTTTGCTTAGGGGTGTCTGTAATTTCTAAGACTCAACTCTAGCTTAAAAAAAGGATTTTATGACATGCATTTTGTGACGTGACATTCTAAACATTCAAAACATTGCATTGGGTTTGTTTTGCTTTATTTTAATTTCCCCAATTTCTCTTAATTTTTATATATATATATATATATATATATATATATATATATATATATATATATATATATATATATATATATATATATATATATATATATATATATATGTGTGTGTGTGTATATGTTGTGTGCCTTTGTCATACTTTAAGGCACATTGTAATGCAATTTTAGCCACTAGAGGGCGTGTATTCATAACAAACAAAAGTGTATTTTGATGACATCATGACTGAAATCATGAGCGACGTGGTCTTCATATTTATGGTTGAGTTAAAGTATTCAAAACGTATTATCATGGTAGCATTAAGCAGAGTAAGACTGAAAGTGTTAGGGTGAAACAAGGTCGCTGGAGCAATTGCTGATGAGAGACAGGAATGCCACCGTCCACCTCTTCTGGTTCTGCCACTTGTGATCATGAGGAAAAGAAACAGAAAACAATAATAAAAATATTGGTATGGTTTGGGTATTTTAATTTAAAAAATCTTACATATTTGCCTATATATTCTTAAAAAACATCCATAGTTTTTATTTTATTTTCTTATTTATATTTGTTTTAGTTTATGTTAATTTTATGTTAAACTACATGAAAATAAGTAATATTCTTTTGGTACCTAGTTGAAATAAAATAATAATGAAATGTTTGTTAAATATAAGGTTTTTAAACAAAGTCACAGTGTTTCTTTAAATATTTTCGCTGACTGTCATTTGTTTTATTTCTTTCTCATGTATAGTGTGTAAGAAGGATGTGGGTTGTCTGTCGTGTTTGTGTTGTTTCCAGTGAGTGGGCATTTAGAGGAAATTTCCTGATAACACAGATAACACCCACTGTTTATATGTCAGTGTCAAGAAACAAGCGGGTGATTGCTGCGCTGTTATTAATTCAGGCATTAATCAGTTTTCACTAAATGTCAATGTTGACAATGAGAAATACCACTCGTATGTCTGTATGAAGGTAGTTTTTGATCATGACACATTGGCTGCACACTTTTACACATTTCTTCTCTTGTGGGGGCTTGTTTAGATTTTTACTTTCAGTTCTCTGGTAATAACTGATGTGTAAAGTCGAATATATTAAGTGTCGAGAAGTCGTACTAATGGAAATCCCCTCTAATTTTCCTGACAGGAGCCGTTGGGGCTGCGCCCCAGTTCTCCGTACCTCGGAGGCCTGGCTATGGCACCATGGGGAAGCCCATCAAGCTGCTGGCCAACTGCTTTCAGGTGGACATCCCCAAGATGGATGTCTACCTGTACGATGTGGACATCAAGCCAGAAAAGTGCCCACGACGTGTTAACAGGTGCAAAACATTCAGCCTTTACAATAATTGATATAGTTTGCAACACTTGATTTGTTTTAAATCTTTCATTCTCAAGAGACTTCTCCATTATTGAGTCTTTATAGTCAAGCTGAGCAGCTTTGAGCCCATGATAATGGTCATAACATTTTCTTTGATGGCTTTCAGGGAAGTGGTGGATTCTATGGTGCAGCACTTTAAAGTGACAATCTTTGGGGACAGAAGACCAGTTTATGATGGCAAGAAGAGCCTTTACACTGCTCAGCCTTTACCAGTGGCCTCAGCGGGGGTAAGATACAGTAACGGGCACCAGGGCGGCTGGGAAGCACCTAACAGTAAAAGTAGAACTTGATACATGCCATGATTAAATGTGTTCATTATGATAGTCCTTTTATGATGCATACTGTAGTTTTTACAAATATTTATTGAAAACATTAAAGGCGTACAAAACTGTCAAGACCGTTTAAGAGCAGCATCATGATTAACTGGCATTTAGATATGATTTTATTTATATTACAGTTTGCACCAAAGCGAATTATTATTATTATTATTATTATTATTATTATTATTATTATTATTATTATTGCCTAAAATTTTAACTATAATATTGATAGTAGAGGTCAAAGTTTTGAAAGAAATCAGATAAACAAAATTTTCTCAACACAAGAAAACAGAAAAATGTTAAAGAAAAAGTTAATTTAATTAACCTTTATAATGTTTAGCATCCAGTAAAACATTTTATGACAATGTTCAGGAACTGTGTTGCATTAACATGTTCTTGTTCTTTTTATTTGTGCTGCATTAACAGGAATTCTGTTTAATTAACTAAAATATGTAGCAATAAAACCTTGTTTTTTTACTATAAACAAGTTGTGGTGAAATGATAGTACTGACAGATCTTTTTTCACACAATGTACAAGTTTTAACTTCATGTGGTTTAATAAACTCTGGAAGTAACTTTTTTTATTTGGAGAGCTGGTTTGCACTGGGATAAAGTGTTAGTAAACTGATCCTGCAGTTTTCATTTATTCATACGGCAGATGCCTTTATCCTACGCAACTTACAAATGTTGAATGCAACCTAATTTAACAAAGGCAAGAAATGCTTTTATTGCACCATTTTAGACATTGTTTAGATGTGTACAAGCTAGAGCAAGGCAAGATTTAGGAAAGGTGAAAGCGTTGAAGGTCTTTTTTTAGTTTGGTGCCTTTAAAGGTATGGTTTGTCCAAAATACTTGTTTCATAATGAGGGTTACCTGCATTTTAGAGTCAAAAAACACCTTTGGCTACTGGTGAAACAATCAGTCAGTGCAAGACTCCCCATAAGTAATGAAGAACCTAGCTGGATGGCTAGCTTTATCATTGAAAAACAGACTTTCATTGTGTTTAATATCTGTAGGTGGACCTGGACGTGACCTTGCCAGGTGAAGGTGGGAAGGACAGGATTTTCAAGGTAACCATTAAATTTGTGTCGCTGGTCAGTTGGCACATGCTGCATGAGGTCCTCACTGGACGGAGCACTCCTGATCCTCTGGAGCTTGACAAGCCAATCAGCACCAATCCCGTACACGCCGTAGATGTTGTCCTGCGCCATCTGCCATCAATGAGGTAAGAGTTACCTTATCGTAACTGCCATTTAATGCAAATACAAAACATTTAAGTGCTTGTTACGTCTTCAATGATTCTCTCATAACTATTAAAATGAGTGTTTTTTTTCTTGTAGATACCTGTAAAGAACAAAAACCATAAGCAGTTAGATAGGAATTGTTTAGAAGTTTACATGTAAGTTCTGGAGGTTACAGCTGTGTTATTTACTCCTCTCACTCAGGTACACCCCTGTGGGAAGGTCGTTTTTCTCCTCCCCTGAGGGCTATGATCACCCACTGGGCGGGGGGAGGGAGGTGTGGTTTGGCTTCCACCAATCAGTGCGACCGGCTATGTGGAAGATGATGCTCAACATTGATGGTAAGCTAGAGTAGATTGTTGAAAGAAATAAATGATCTGATTTCTTCAGTTAGAGGATCTTTATGTTATTCAGTGGCTATTAGAAAAAAAAAGATCAAATAATGTCTGCTGTATGTTGCACAAGAGAGCTACAATGCACTGTGAGTAAAAAAAAACATGCAAACGGGAAAACAAACACACATTGAGAAAACATCTTGATCAGTTAAGGTTGTCATGATACTGGAATTCGACACTAATTGGTACTAAAATTTTAAAAGCATCCATTTCCTGCAAACATTTAAGCTATTGTGTTTATGTGCTTAATAGAAGTGACTGGGATTGGCCGTGAAGGTCATCGCTTAACTGAACTCACTGCTGTTTACTGCGTGTAACCACAGATATAGGGACACTGGAGCGTTTTAAAGCTGTGAATCATCAGCGGATTCCTCTAATGTCAGCTTATTGACAAACCAGTTGATTGACATGTCTTTGAAATGCTCCAGTGTCCCTGTATCTGTGTTTGCACTCAGTTAACAGCGGTAAGTTTGGTAAGCCAATGACCTTCACGGCTAATCACAGTCATTTTGTTTAAACACATGAACAGAATGGCAAATTAGCGTTGTTTAAGAACGTGCTCCACATCGCTTAAATGTTCGTGGGAAATGGACATTTTAAAGATTCAGTACCGATTAGTATCGAATTCCATTATTGTTACATCTGTTTGACAATACACATGCAAATAGAGAAATATACTGCAAATAGTATAGACAAGAAAAACTGATAAACTCTGTTGCTTCTCATTTAGAAATCGGAGACTGTTTTTTTGGTTTATTTTAATGCCTTAGACAAACGGTTCCTTGTAGTTTGTGCATTTTTAGCTAAATAATAAAAAATATTGCCCTTCAGATATCTGACAACAGTAAACATGAAGTATCCATGTTTCTCACTTTTTGGGGTCACAAATTTCTGTAGTGGTCTGTGGTCTTTGTAGCATGTTTCTGTATTTGCATGCTTTAAAAATGCTTGTGTGCATAATGTCAAACTGATGACTATTTTAAAATATGTGACTGTTTTTCTATTTTATCCAATGTACTTCTATAATTCAATAGAGCTACATGATTCCGGACACAGAATTGGTTAAAATTATACCAATTGCCTTTCTATTCTGTGTTTAAAACTAAACAATATTTTAATACAAAATTGAATGTTTTAGCATGATTGCAAATATTATAAAAAATGTATTACAAAGACTTTTTATTACTAAATGAATCATCATTTTAATACTCTTGGAAGAATAAATGCATACATTCAGATGATTCTATAACAAATACATTTGAAACGGTTAAATGTCACCACCTGTTGGCCTAAGCTACTTTTTAAAGGGTCATTTACTCTGTTTTGATCACTTCTGCAGACATAGGGTGTCTCCCAATCAGCTCCCTAGCTCCTGAATCAGTAGGTTATGTACACTAATTTGGGCACTGCTTAGGAAAACAAGCAATGTTCACTACAGGTTGGGACACTAATAGTGACATGAGAACATCAAAACTGGAACTTCTCAACAACAGCAGAACTGATATTTGTTACATTAGTAATTTATTACATTTTTTAAAAAATACATTACAGACAAATTAGCTTGTCAGCAACATTTCAGCCATTACTCATTTATATTGTTCAATTATATTGTTGTCTACTTGTGCTAGTGTATGTTAGTTTATGCTCAAATCTAAATAACTATTTTTCGTTTATCTTTATGTTTATTGGTTGGTTAAAGTCTTTGTTTCATTCTTTTTTACTTTTTTTAAGGGTTTTCACCTTTATATTGAATAAGACAGTGGAGGTTACAGACAGAAAAGTATTGGGAGCAGAGAGGGGAAGGGTCGCCGTGAGCACAGAGGTGCTATATGTTGGCGCATTCAACCAGTAGGCTATTGGAACTGTCATGTTTCATTCTTCATAACTTATATTAATAGAGCATGTATGCTCCCTGATTATCATGGTGCGTTGTGGGACTTTTCGGAAGGCATACGTTTCAGCACACTGGAAGAATTTTGGAATTGAGAGCCCTTAAAATACCTGACTCCTTTATCAGTGCCCTAACTAGTGAACAAGGCACTGCTTGAGACAAACCAATTGTTTTTATGCAAACTGTAAACTTTGTTTCCAGTTCTTGTATAGTAATTTGAATTTAAGCTCATTTATTTTGCATTAACGTTGACCGGATATTATAATTATTTTCCTTAGTGTCTGCCACTGCTTTCTACAAAGCTCAGCCTGTGATTCAGTTCATGTGTGAGGTTCTTGATATCCACAACATCGATGAGCAGCCCCGTCCTCTCACCGATTCCCACAGAGTCAAATTCACCAAAGAGATCAAAGGTTAGTGTCAATGGGCAAAAGTGGCTATAAAGATTGTTCAAACTCTGCATTTGAGCTGCATTTCATTAAACCATCCTGAAAAAAGGTATAATTAGGTGGCCTTAACTACTGTGTACTTGCATCAGAAAATAGATACAGTGTACTTACTAAGGTCATAATGTATGGCAGAACACTTCTGGTGCACTTGAGGTGGAATACGGGTAGGGTTAGGGACAGGTTTGGTGGTATGGGTAGGTTTAAGAGTGGGTTGAGTTGTAAGGAATGGTCAACAGTGTAATTACACTGGTATTTAATCAGTCATAACTACAATGTAAAAACACGCATTTACACAATAACAATACATTGTAACAAATGAATAATTTCTGTACAAGGTAAGGCCACCTAATATAAAGTGGGATTGAAATTTCTTGGGCTTTAGTTTAACAGAATGATCCGTGAAAGATACTGCAACTGATGCTTTTTTTTTTCTTATGTATTATTGCATTATTTACACAATTTATTCAATTATATGCTATTTAATTTCTTTAACAATGCAAAAATCAAAAATGTTGGATATTACATTTTGTTATTATTTAGTAACAATCATAAAATACTCAGTAAACAATCATAAAATGCTCAGTCAAGTGTATTTTTGGCATGTCTGTTCTCTTGAAAACACTGGAAGGAAATATTGGTCTATTTGCAAGTTAAATTCACTGCTTGGATTGAATCCTGATTTCTACAGTAGTGGAAATACTCTTAAACCTCCATTAGTCTTACTCTGAGCTGTAAACTGACCAGTGGTGGGAATTTGATCTTCTTCTCTTTATCAGGTTTAAAGGTGGAGGTCACCCACTGTGGCACCATGAGGAGGAAGTACAGGGTGTGTAATGTTACTCGTCGACCAGCTAGCCATCAGACGTAAGTGGATGAGCAGCTTTTTTTAAGACCATTTGAGGATTAATTATCTTATCAGTTAGAAAAAAGGTCAATAAATCTGCACTGTGGTACAATAATACATATTTTATTGTCATGTTTATTATATTAAGAGAAAAAGAAACTGGAAGAACCTTCTTAGAATTTTCAAAGGGATAGTTCACCCAGAAATTAACATTTTTCTCACCGTGTTTCTAAACTTTCATGAATTGTGTTGAACACGTAGGAACTTACCCTGAAGAATGTTGGAAACCAGCAGCTATTGACATCCATAGTAGAAACAAAAATTGTATGGAAGTCAATGGTTGCTGCTTTCCATCATTCATCAGTATATCTTTCTTTGTGTTAAACAGAAGCAATAAACAGTAGGGTGAGTAAATACTGACAGAATATTCATTTTTTGGGTGGACTATCACATTAAAATCCCAGCTCCCTGTTCATTTTTAATAATTATATAGTTTTTGTATTCATTTGCCAGGTTTCCTCTACAGCTAGAAAATGGACAGACTGTGGAGAGAACAGTGGCACAATATTTCAGGGAAAAGTACAACTTACAGCTCAAGTACCCCCATTTGCCCTGCCTGCAAGTGGGACAGGAGCAGAAACACACATACCTACCTTTAGAGGTGAGGCGTCTGATAACTTATGTTAACAGGAAACGTGATGCTGTTTCTTTGCACTGAAGCACAATCTAGCCATCGTTTGTTTTTCCCTGATTAGTGGAATTCATCATTTCTAGATACCTAACAACAGCTTTTTTGAAGCTTATTTTTTTCCACCACAAAAATACAGCTTAGAATTCACACAGTTTTGATTTTATATCTCACAATTTTGAGTTATAAACGTGCAATTGTGGGTTTGTGTCTTGCAATACTGAAACAAAACTCAGAATTGCAAGAAATAATGTTAATTTTAAAGTCTGAAAAAAGTATATTTAAATACATAAATTATTTTTAAATTGTTTATTTATTGCTATTTGGACTATTTTTCTCAGATTTCCAACATGATTTAACCTAATTCTGACTTTCTTTGTCAGAAATGGTCAGTTTTGTGTAATATAAACAATGCAAATGCTTACATCTGATTTTTTCATTAGGATTTCATCATTCTCAGATTTGAAGTTTTTAATCACAGTTTAGTTTTTCCCACATCCAATGCACGCATATCTGTGTATTTATATATGTAAACATAACTATTATTTAGCTGCGTTTCTTTTGTATGCTAGCGACAACAATGTTTTTCTCCTTCTATAGTTCAGTATTTGGTTTATTTCTGGCATAAAAGCAGCTGCATTAATGAGAAAGTTTGTAATAAAAAGTTGAACCCGCAAAAAGTCTCACCCATTCATGTTTACAAATACAAATGCAGCTGTTTAGAGGTCATTTCTGATTTATGATGTAAGAATTTACTGCTTTTTTATGATTAAATTTACCGGTGAAGTCTTTTCAGTAATTTTACAGATGTTTACTATTATAACTGTGTGAAAAGGGCTATTAGCACTAGCTCTGATCTAGTGTCTTGTAGTACTTGCTTTAGTTAAAGCTTATTGGATTTTTTTGTTCCTTTTTAATGCTGTCATTATCAACTGTCCTTTTCCCTCAGGTGTGCAACATAGTGGCAGGTCAACGCTGCATAAAAAAACTGACCGACAACCAAACCTCCACCATGATCAAAGCCACGGCCCGCTCCGCACCGGACAGACAAGAGGAGATCAGCAGACTGGTGAGTCCTAAAAGATACTCAGAAACATCCCTGCTAGTGTTTATGACTGAAGATGCCTTTCTTAAGTGTCCTAACTCTGAAGCCTCAATCTTTTGCTTATTTCTCAGGTGCGCAGTGCCAACTATAATTCAGACCCATTTGTGCAAGAGTTCCAGTTCCGTGTGCGGGACGAGATGGCGGAGGTGACGGGTCGAGTTCTGCCCGCCCCCATGCTGCAGTACGGCGGCAGGGTGAGCTCTGAACACTTTATGGTACCCGCCCCCTTTCACTCATGCACCGTGTGTGTTTGTGTTTGAGTAGAAGACTAGAGATTTTGCTGGCTTTATGTCTAGATTTAACATCTAAATGGGTAGCTAAACCCAAAATAAACCCAAAATAAATAATAAAATAATAATAATTGTCATTTACTTACTTAATTGTTTTGCACACTTGAAACACCACATTTCTGCCCCATCACAGAAAATCCAGTGCTTTAAAATGTACCTAAAGAGTTTAAAAAATATATTAAATTATATGAATTTAGCAGTAGACTTCATTCACATATAATTATTGGTTGCTTGCAATGTTTAGAAGTATTCAGTTTTGGTCACAAAGCATGCTTGTGTGTGACACAACATGTTTGAGAGCTTCAGCAAGAGCCAATAATTTTTTTTTCTCATGCCTCAAACAGGCATGGGTTAAAGTCCAAATGAAGTCAAAATTTACAATGCTTGATTTGATAGCACACATTAGCCCCTTTCACACAGTGATACCGGTAAATTTCTGGAAAATTTCCGGAACGACTTTACCGGTATATTCAAAAAAGCGCTGTTCACACAGGCGAGGACGTTACGGAAATTTTCCGGAAAAGAGCATTCACACATCCATTCCAAAATACCGGTAAATTCTGACATCATTCACCACAAATGAGCTTTAAACGGCTGCGCTTGTATTTGTACACATTTGACTAAATTACAAACTCTGTGGATGATCAATATTGTGAACAACTTTCGCAGGATCACTTTCGCATGTCGAGATGTTCATAATATGTGCGTGTGCAGGCGCTCATAGGCGCACGCAAAGCTTGAAGGTAAACAAACAACGGCTTATCATAAGCATCTCATCGATGATTATTTACACAGTTGGCATTAAGAAGAACATATAAACGTGACCTGACTAACTTCTAGCAGCTAAATGTGTCTGGAAAAATATTCAAAGGCTTTTATCCTCACAAACCGTGTGGACGAAAATGCGTCTGACTGTTGTGATTGGCTAAAGCAGACGTCTCACTTCAGCACATTCTAGACGTGCACGCGCTTATTACGGGAATCTTCCTTCTGCATTTACACAGCGCAGCATTCCGGCAAATTGCCGGTAATGTTACAACTTCTCTTTCCGGAAAATAGCCAGAACGAATTTACCGGTATTTTCAAAAAGGACCTGTTCACACATACAACCTTTCCGGAAAATTGCCGGTAATTTTCCGGAAAGGTCTGTATGTGTGAAAGGGGCTATTGTTAGTCTGGTCCAACTTTACAATAAGGTTATATTAGTTGATGTATTTACTAACATGAGCTAATAATGAGCAATCGTTGTTCCGCATTAATTAATCAACAATTACTAATTCATTTATTAAATCCAAATTCATGCTTGTTAACATTAGTTAATGCATTGTGAGTTAAACAAAAATGTACACTGCATTTTCATTAACTTTAACAAAGATTAATAAATGCTGTAATGTGGCGTTCATTATTTGTCAATGTTAATACATACATTAACTAGCATTAACTAATTCAACCGTATTGTAAAGTGTTACTATTAGTCTTAATTCTGCTTTCGAATAGCAGTCCTTCTATGATGATGTCAGTTTGACTGCTTGGGTGTAATAAGCTTAGCCACACCCCTTCGATCATTAGTTTGCTGCAAGTGAAAGATGAGAGGAGGAGCAAAAATTGTTTACTCCGCCTCCTACTCAATATTCTGTTTTAGTTGGAAATACATAATCATAACTAAATAAAAGTCTGCAGAAAATCCTGATTCACACAGACTTTAAGATTATTTTAAGGTTTATTTTCACTGCATGTGTTTATATGTGAATAAAAGCCTACATTTAAATCTGTTAAATTAGAGTTTTGGGTAAACAGACTTTCCATACAGCGATGAAAAAGATTGCATAAAAAATAACTTAATTTCTCTGAAGATTAACAAATTACATATAGGTTTGGACAGACGTTAGGGTGAGTAAATGACTATTTTAATTAGTTGTTTAATATAAGTGCTAATTGTATTGTGTTTACATGTGTGGAGGGTTAATCAGTTGCTGTGTGGGTTGCTTTAAATGAAGTGAGGTTTGTTGCATGTATTTAAATGGCTTGTTCTCTGTTTTTAAATCTCTTTTGCATTTGGAAAATGAAATTACATTTTCTCCTTATGTATTTAGTATTTTTATTTTTGAATGTGTCCGAATATATACATTTATCTTTTCAGATATCCATAAAATATATCTTTATTTTGATTAGAAAACTAGTAAAGTAGTACCAATATTTACTAGTACTTTCCAAATTTAGTAAGAGTTTGACAAATGACTGCTGTGTAAAAAAAATAAAAATAATATATATATATATATATATATATATATATATATATATATATATATATATATATATATATATATATATATATATATATATATATATACACACAATGATTAAAATGCAGTCAAACATATAGTATTTGACAAACTTATTCTTGAAATTACAATTATATTTCTCCTTGTGTTACAGAATCGTACTGTAGCCACCCCTAGTCATGGAGTGTGGGACATGAGAGGCAAGCAGTTTCACACTGGAGTGGAGATCAAGATGTGGGCCATCGCTTGCTTTGCCACTCAGAGACAATGTAGAGAGGAAGTTCTCAAGTAAAGCTTCCTCCATCTTTTTTTTTTGGTCATTAACAAAGCTTCAATTATCAGTAGAAGTGAAATACTCGGCTATCTCTTTTGTAGGGGCTTTACAGACCAGCTGCGGAAGATCTCCAAGGATGCAGGGATGCCTATTCAGGGGCAGCCGTGCTTCTGCAAGTATGCTCAGGGAGCAGATAATGTGGAGCCCATGTTCCGGCACCTGAAGAACACTTATGCTGGTCTTCAACTCATCATCGTCATTCTGCCTGGAAAAACTCCAGTCTACGGTAACTATACATGGACAGAGGTGCCATTTATGTTGGTCAAGTTTACTAAAGAGCTCCGTATTGAAGCTTCCCAGTACATTTATTTGCATTGTTTTAGCCTGTTGTTGTTATTTTTTTAATTTTTTATTTTTTTTGATGAATCAATATTCCTGAGAGTGGCTTAAAAGTTGAAGTGCATTGGTATTTGTAAAAATCTTGATGTTTCTGTGGGTTTCGTCTATCAAATCTGATCTTAATATTGTATTTTCTATCGGATTCAAGTCAGGGGATTGGCTGGGCCATTCTACAGCTTTATTTTCTTTCTCTGAAAGCATTTAAGTGTTTCATTGGCTGTGTTTTGGATCATTGCCTTGCTGAAATGTCCACCTTGGTTTCATCTTCATCATCCTGTTAATGTAGATGTTGGACTGAAACAGCTGATATTAATTGACAGTGACGAAGGGCAGAGGGTTGCTGAAGAACTACTGAGCAATTTCAGCTGCAGTCTTGGTGTCTTGAATTAATTATGGCATCAATTCTTGCAACCGTTTTTGAGCTCTTGTGTGCTCTGTCTCCAGCCGAAGTGAAACGTGTTGGAGACACTCTTCTGGGAATGGCCACTCAGTGCGTTCAGGTGAAGAATGTGGTAAAGACGTCTCCTCAGACCCTTTCCAACCTCTGTTTGAAGATCAACGTCAAACTGGGCGGCATTAACAACATCCTAGTGCCCCATCAGCGGTACGACAACCAAGTTCATTCTACATGCGTGTTGCACACTATGTTCCCTGATGTCCTTAATTCTACTAAACATCTTATGTATTTTCATTTTTAGGCCTTCTGTTTTCCAGCAGCCAGTCATATTTCTGGGAGCTGATGTCACTCATCCGCCTGCAGGAGATGGCAAGAAACCCTCCATTGCAGCTGTAAGAATGACCGCCCACACACACACACTTTTCATGTTGAACACAATATTATTTTTTGATTGAGATTCATGTTAAAGCAATTAATTCTTAATCTTAAAAGATATTTATTCAGCGAATAGGTTGCAATGGTTACAACCGTGGCACATAGAGAAAGCAGTTGAAATCTATCATTATGAAACTGCTTCACAATATTAATAATAAACATACTATAAATCAGATTATCACAGAAATACTAGGATAAAAGTTTCTAGTTTGAATATAACATAACTGATGTCTATAATTCTACAATAATTTTAAAGCAAATGACATGCTAATCAGCTCACTCATTGTTTAAACAACCATTAAAGGCACAATATGTACGATTCTTTCATTAAAATATTTGTTTAAAAAAATGATATATATATATACTGTATTTATATACTGTATTTAGCAGATGTATTTACATTATCTAAAATGTTTTGAAGAATGTTCAAATCTGGAGAAATTAGCGATTTTAACAAGTGACACTTACCGGTTTTGGTTTTATAGAAAACAAGGGAACACCAAAGACACTTTAATACGATGTGTGTTTTATTAGACTAGACAGAGCAGCATTGTTAGAGAGACAAAAATGTTTTTAGTATGATAAAACAGGGCTGCTTCCTCACATAATCACGACTGGAAGTGATGTATTGTGTAATAAAGCCTCTGATGTTTTTGTGTTGTGTTGCTCTAGTCTCTCATCAGCCATTTTTTTAGTTCTCTCATTTAGCTTCGACAGCTGTAATCTGCTTCATACTACCAGGATATGTTTTGAAAAAATTTCCTTGTTTGTTGTGAACAAACTAGTTAACCTCTAGTGGCAAAATGATATGCTGCACCTTTAAGATATTATCATAGACCAGGGGTTTTCAAAGTGTGAGGCGCGCCTCCCCTGGGGGGGGCCAGAGCATGTCAGGGAAGCCGCGGGAAAAAATATAATATAATAAAAATATAATTATTAAGTTTAATTATTATATGTATTTTTTATTATATTTAAACGTTTTAATTAAACAAAGCAAAAAAAAAAAAAAAAGTCAAATATAAGAAAACCTTTTTTACCCAGAAGGCCATAGCTGTGAATACGCTTCTTTTTGGCAAGCCCGCCAATACAGGTATATGCCTGCTAATACAATGGGTCGGTTTCTGAGACCCCCCGATTCAAAGCTGTAATGAAGTTCACGGCCCTTTGGCCGCCGGGAAGAAGGAGGCGGAGAACCGACGCAGTTTTAAAATGATTTATTAATAACAGTGACGGCAGCTCCTCACGGAGGCTGCCGTCTAAACCAGAACAAACGGACGGCAGCTCCTCACGGAGACTGCCGTCAAACTAAAAGCAAAAGTAAAATATGTCCGGGTTCGGTCCTCTCTCGGCTTCCTCTGCCCTCGTTCCTCATTTTATGATCCAGTGCTCCTTCCGTGGGATCTGAGGCAGGTGCGCACCGCAGGTGTATCCACTTACGCGGTGGCCTCACTCCGTTCCCACGGCTCTCGGCCACGCCCCCTCGCCACAAAATCCTTCAAGTTCAGGGCTTAAACCCAAAAGACGACGATATGATGATCAGTATTTGAGTTTAGGATTTACGTGGACAGGGCCAGCTGATGAACCATGACCTTTATGTGTGGTTTGTCAAAATATTTTGGCTAATGACAGCATGAGACCCGCTAAACTTCGACTGTTTTGATGAGGATGGACAGTTCTTGGATCTGTTCTATTCATATTGAACCATCATCCTTGTTTTAAAAACATTATATTAAAATACTTGTTATTACTCTGTAAATAATTGCACTTTCATGCAAATGATGATAAAAGTGAGTTAACAGTCTGACATCTGTCTGTGTCTTTATATATATATATATATATATATATATATATATATATATATATATAATGTGTTTGTGTGTGCGTGTGTGCGTGCGTGCGTGCATGCGTGCGTGTTTGGGAGGAGGGGGGCGCCAATGGATGAGTTGTGTCAAAAGGGAGGCCCACTGTCTTAGACTTTGAAAAACCCTGTCATAGACCAATACTTTGGACAGTACTTGGATCTGTCCTTGAATTGTCCAAAATACACTTTTCTTACTTGGATTTTTTGTCTTGTTTCTAGTCCAAATATCTAAAAGTTCTTAAATCAAGAACAATTTTCAAGACAAGTAAAACATGTTGTCTTGTTTTAAAAATTAATATGTCAAAATTAAATGAGTTTTCCATAAAACAAGCAAAATAATCTGCCAATGGGGTAAGCAAAATAATTTTATGTCAAAAGAGAAAACTAGATTATTTTGCTTAACCATTCACTGATTATTTTGCTTAACCATTCACTGATTATTTTGCTTAACCCATTCACTGATTATTTTGCTTAACCCATTCACTGATTATTTTGCTTAACCCATTCACTGATTATTTTGCTTAACCCATTCACTGATTATTTTGCTTGTTTTAAGGAAAAACGTACGTAATATTGGCGTATTATTTATGAAAACAAGACAATATGTTGTGCTTTCCTAGAAAATGCTTCTTGATATAAGAATTTTTAGATATTTGGACTAGAAATAAGACAAAAAAAATCTAAGTAAGAAAAGCATTTTTTGCAGTGCATTAATCTATGATAAATCCTAAAGGCACAGTATGTCATTTTGTTTTTCAGTAGTTGGACAAAATGAAAGACTAAATAAAAATAATGTACATCATTTATAACAAATACTGCAGTGTATCATTTTTAAAATGCTTGATTTTATTTTATTAAATTTTTTTTTTGTATGATTTTAAGGGAATTTTTTTTTACAATGTGTTTTTCTTTTTTTTTCCACTTACCTCTCTTCTTCAGGTGGTGGGTAGCATGGATGCTCACCCCAGCAGATACTGCGCTACCGTCCGTGTCCAGAGGCCCAGACAGGAGGTGATTCAGGACCTGGCATCCATGGTGCGAGAGCTGCTCATCCAGTTCTACAAGTCTACTCACTACAAACCCACCAGAATCATCTTCTATAGGGATGGAGTGTCTGAGGGGCAGTTCAGACAGGTGAGGAACTACAGAATATATCGCTTTAAAGCACTACACATAGTCAAAACTCTCTCACTTCTCAGTTCCCTTTGAAATAGTCTCTCCAGTGATGCGCATCATGAAACATTTGCGTGTGTATTGCGAGAATTAGTGCCACAGTTTCGTCATGTGTGAAGATTTTCAGGTGTTTTCAGGGTCTGCAGTCTCACTATATGACAACATGAACAAGCTGTTCTCTTTTTCATTTGAGAAAACTCTTGTTAGATACAAATAGAAACTTGCAGGTCTTCATTTTAACCTGGGAATAAAGTGATTTAACTTGAAATGAGGACAAATGCGTTACTCTTATATAATAAAATTTACTTCAAAAATAATAATAAAAATAATAATAATTAATCATAAGTTATAAACATAATTTTTTAATTGTTAAAAAACAATAATTAATAGATTGATGGGTTTTATTTGGAATTTATTTGGAATTATTTCAAATGTATGAAATTATTTTTTTAATTATTACTATTATTAAAATTGATTTAAAATAATTTAAGATTCACTTAAATTCATTGCTATGTATTTCTATGTACATAATAATAATAATGATATTTTTTTAATTAGATTTTTGGTAAGTCAGTTTAAGATCATCACTATCTGAAACCATCTACAATTATGTTATGTTCTTGGGAAGTTTCACATACACAGGGCATAAGTAATGTCTATCACTCCCTCCTTTGATTTTTTTTCTGTAAAGATTTAAAAATATTTTATAATTCTTTGACCTCAGTTACAAGAAGCAAGAAGGCCATAAATAATAAATGATTTCTTATTTTATTTCAATATTTTATTATCTAATAATAAAAAAAAACGATCTGTACAATCTAATCATTTAAATATGATGGATCCCCTCATATATATATATATATATATATATATATATATATATATATATATATATATATATATATATATATATATATATATATATATAATGTATTTTTTTTTGCTAAATGTATGTTCTGCATCACCTAAGTTTTGTATGACTGTTATATGTTATCATATAATCCTGTTTGTTTGTCAGTTATATGCTTCAATAAAAAATATTAAAATAAATAAATAATAAAAAATATGTTATGTTCTTCTTCCTAGGTGCTGTATTATGAGCTCCTGGCCATACGTGAAGCTTGTATCAGCCTTGAGAAGGAATATCAGCCTGGAATCACCTACATCGTTGTGCAGAAACGTCACCACACTCGCCTTTTCTGTGCTGACCGTGCTGAGAGGGTGAGGATTTAGTGTTTTCCTGAAAACAGCTAATCTGTTTTATTATTTTTCATTCTTTTCTAAAATCCTCAATTCTCTTTTTGTAAAGGTTGGCCGCAGTGGGAACATTCCAGCAGGAACCACAGTGGACACCGACATCACCCATCCATACGAATTTGACTTTTATCTGTGCAGTCATGCTGGAATACAGGTATGAACTCACAGCGACTTGAGCACAAAGGCTTTTTCTCAACCATGTTCCTGGTGGACCACCAAAACGGCAAGTTTTGAACCTATTCCTTGTCAGTCACACCCATTACAGGTCTTTCAGTCTCTGCTAATGAGCTGATGATCTGAATCAGGTGTGTTTGGTTAAGGAGACATGAAAAATGTGTAGAGCTGGTGATCCTCCAGGAATGTGGTTGAGAAACACTGTATTAAGCTCACACTATAGTTTGAGCAAGCAAAATTTTGTTGTACGGTGCTGCGAAAAGGGGCAGGATTAAACAAGATGATTAGACATTAAAAAGTTAGTCGATTGCTCCATATTTTACATTTCTGTACAGAGAGGTCATGTTTTGATCTTCGATTGGTCTCACGCAATCACATGATGTGATTTCGCAGGTTAGAGTTTACCAAGATTGAACATTGCTACGCAGCGACATGCAAAACTTGTCGCACAAGCTTGCGTTTCTGGTTTGCTGCATTTGCATGCGTATGAATGGATGTCTATGGGTGAAAAGTGCAGTGTGACTAGAGCTTTAGTCTATGTTTATGCCATCTGTCCTGCATTATATTAACTAAGTGACGATTTAAATGGTTCGGAGCAATTGAGTCTAATGCATGTCACCAAAATGCTCACTTCACCCTATTTTCACAAGGGTACAAGCCGACCTTCACACTACTACGTGCTATGGGACGACAACTGCTTCACAGCTGATGAGTTCCAGCTCTTGACGTACCAGCTGTGCCACACATACGTGCGCTGCACTCGCTCCGTCTCCATCCCTGCACCAGCCTACTATGCTCATCTGGTGGCCTTCAGAGCCCGTTATCATTTAGTGGATAAAGAGCATGACAGGTGAGAGATTTACTGGCCCCGATGTTGCTTTCTTGATTTCTATTCAAAATGCAGGGTTTGATTTAAATCAACACTGCAACTTTTATTTTAATTAGCTTTTGGATTTTCTTTGTTGCCACAAGTAGTCAAAAGAGACCCTTTATTTCAGATAGTTGCTTTTTTGAAAACTTTGATTGTTTCTGCAATCTAATAATAAATTAAATTTGATTACTTTTATTAAATTACGTTGCATTTCAGAACACTGAAGTGTATCTTCACATTGTCACTACTTGTATTCTTGTCGTTTTTTTCCCCGTCTGTTTCACCAAAACTTTTGATCAGCTCTCAGATCTGATCTGTATCATTTTTATTTATTTGATCTGAAATTGACTCATGCACACCCAGGTTGCATTTGTATTTAATCAGAAATACAATAAAACAGTACATTTCTGATTTTTATTCAGACAATATAAATATTTATTTTATATTTTAATTATTGTTATTTATATTTTTTTTAAATATTGATTTAGGTTTTTGCATTTACAATTTAAACCAGTACATTACCTTCCCCTACAAAAACCACATATAATACAATTAAATTTATTTTTTTTTTATAAAATTGCATCAATACATTTAGACATTTATTGAAACTGTTGTCATAGTATTTTTTTAAAGGCAATTTCTCTTGAAAATTGCGATTACTTTTCTCTGAATTTTTGAACACTTCAGACTGTTGGACTTTTTATTTTGAAATCGTCTTTTAAACTTTTAAACATTCCTTTAAACGGTTGAACACTTCAGACTTGGGCTGCGTCTGAAACCGTCTACTACTCAGTAGGTACTGCACTTGAATTTAAACGCACTACTGGAACGTTAGAAATGTTTGTTCTATAAAGTATGAATTCTTTTATTTTCAAATTGTCTTTTGAACTTTCAAAACGTTTGAACATTTCAGACTGTTGGACTTTTATTTTTAAATTTATTATTATTATTATTTATTATTAATTTAAATTTATTTTATTTTTGCCTTTTAAACTGTCAAACATTATTTTAAACAGTTGGACTTTAATTTTGATTTGATCTGATTTTGTTACAGTATTTTCGATATTTATTATTCTGGAGAAAGTCTTATTTGTTTTATTTCGGCAAGAAGAAAAGCAGCTTCTTTAATCATTTTAAGGTCACTATTATTAACCCCCTTAAGCTATATATTTTCGAATTGTCTACAGAACCAACCATCATTATACAACGACTTGCCTAATTACCCTAACCTGCTAGTTATGCCGTTAAATGTCACTTTAAGCTGAATAAAAGCACCACGAATACTATCTAGTAAAATATTGGGAACTGTTATTATGACAAAGATAAAATAAATCAGTGATTAGAAATGAGTTATTAACTATTATGTTTAGAAATGGGTTGAGAATTTTCATTCCATTAAAAACAAACTGGGGAAAAAATTAGGGGGGTTAAAAATTCAGGAAGGCTAATAAATCTGACTTTAATTATGTTTATTAAAATTATTCATTGTTTAAGTAATTTGCTAATTTCTCTCTCCTCTTTTCACACAGTGCGGAAGGCAGCCATGTGTCGGGTCAGAGTAACGGTCGAGACCCTCAAGCCCTGGCCAAAGCTGTGCAGATCCATCACGACACTCTGAGGACCATGTACTTTGCCTAGCACCGCCTCCACAGACCTGTCAATCACCAGTCATTGTGCACTTAGAGGAGGAGGGAGAGGAGCTTCTCCCAATCACAGGCTGCTAAAGAGAACCAAATGTAATAGAACTTACAGGCGGAACTAGCACAGTTATGCAATAGAAAAACAGCCAATCTTTCCAAGCTTACTAATTGTTTTTAATATCTAGATTGCAGCTATAATGTTATTTATTAGATTTCTAGATCTGTTTAACTATTCATTTTGCAGCCTTGGGTCACAAAACCAAGTTTAAAGATGAGGCAGATCAGCGAATGAGGCAGTGTTATTTCCCTGTTTGTGTAGGTTTCTCTCATCCTGTAGAGTTTCACGACTCATCGGACACGCAAAAAGCTGAACAGTTTTAAAAAACGTCTGCTTAGGATTAGTGTTTTAATAACTTCGAAAACGGATGTTGAAGAAATGCCACTAGAGGGCAGTGCAAATTTTGCTAACAGTTTGCAATTGTACTGTAGGTCCTCCATTGTTCCTCCGGATAGTTGATCAAGTCTTGATCTTTTACTTTTTAAAAAAATTATTTTTACCATCAAAATCCAATATTTCAGTTTATATATATATATATATATATAGTAGACAACTGAAATAGCATTCCATTTTCACACTTCACAAACATGCTTCCTGGTTTAGGAAATTGTAGATATTTGGACTAAAACAAGTAGGGAAGAAAGGAACTTACTTTTTTTAGTCCAACTATCTACAAATTCTTAAACATAGAAGCATTATCTAGATGTGTAAAAAGTATCAGAAATAATGTCAAAATTAAGTGAGATTTTCAAAATTAAGCGAAAAGTAAAATAATTTGCTAATGGGGTAAGAAAAATAATCTTACTTTAAACCAAAAACTAAATTAGTTTACTTTGAGACATTTTTGGGGCAAAAACCCACTTATTTTGACTAATTTCTGCAAACAAATTATTTTTACTTGTCTAGAAAATGCTTCTTGATTTAAAAAATGTTTAGATATTATGTCACACTGCACAAAAATGTTTTTTTTTTCACGTTTTTCGTATAAATATCTACTAATTCTTAAACCAAGAAGCATTTTCTAGACGTATAAAAAGTATCTGAAATAATGTCAAAATTAAGTGAGATTTTCAAAATTAAGTATAAAGTAAAATAATCTGCTAATGGGTTTAGTAAAGTAATCTTATTTCAAACCGTAAACAAAATTATTTTACTTTGAGACATTTTTTTGGGCAAAAAAAAAAAAACAGATTTTTGACTAATTTCTGCGAACAAATAATTTTTACTTTTCTAGAAAATGCTTCTTGAGTTAAGGATCTTTATATATTTAGACTAGAACCAAAACAAAGAAAAGCATTTTTCCTCATATTTACTCACTGCGACCATGCTTATTCCGCTTTTTGAACATTTGGAGACCCTGCTTTTCTTCTAATTCCAGTCTTTTAAATGCTTCTGAATACCTCTATGATGCATTAAGTTTCTAATCCAATTGCGCCCATCATAGTACCGTCGGTTTCTTACAGTTCCGGTCACATTAAGCAGACATGACAGGTTAGCTAAGGGCTGCAGAATTTGCAGAGGAGAGACCATGCAAAATTTCCATGTAGACGACTATGTTTATGTATGTGCGTTAAACGCATTGTGCCTCATTCAGTTTGCGTGTGCCCACAACATAAGTGCTCGAGTGAGTGTCAGATTGACCGTAACACCCTCAACGGAAGTGTGCACACACACAATTCCACCCAAGGCTACTCAGAGTCTCGAGTTTTCATTCAATTGACATCAATTGACATTTCATTGACCTTTATGTACTTTGAGCTTATTTATAATACTGCTTTTAACTTGCGTTGTCATTAGTGCATCTGTAAATTATCTATTTACCTTATCGATTTCTTAATTTCATGTTTTAGCCCTGTGAACTTTGACAAACACTGTCCCATAAGCCTTTTAGTGCAATAAGCCAATTATTAACGGCTCTGTCGTAGACTTTCACGACACAATACAAAGCATACCTGCTTTAATTTAAAACAGAACATTTTGTTGAATGTGGCATTGTTTTGGAGAACTTGAACGCCATTTTTTGGCTGGTTTTATTGAAACGGATGATGTGTTTTATGGCTGGAATGATGGGTTAAGTTTACAGAGGACGTGGTTTGTAGTAAATGCTATCAAGACAAAACTTTCATTTAAAAAGTCAAATGATGAAGTGCCTGTTTTATAGGAGATATCTATTGGCGTACATTTTAAATGTGTATTTAAGGCGAATGGCGTGTACATATGGTTGGACAGATATTTTAGCTATTAAAACTGTTATTCTTTTTAGGTCTTTTTGTTGTCAAGGGCAATTTGATTAGTTGAACTAATGTAGTCCTGGGCCATTTTCTTTTCAACTTTCATTCAGACTTCTAGATTTCTTTTGAACTTTTACATTTTCTTTTCAACTTTGGAACATTCAGTTTTGTTTTATTTTTTATTTTGAAGATTTTGTCAAACGTTCCTTTATTCTTTTTTCAAAATTTCCAACTGTTTTCATCATTCAAATGTTTATTTGACGTTTCAAACATTCTTTTGAACTAAGTTTTCATAAGATCCTGTGAGTGTTCTAACATTCTGTTTTTACACACGTTCCTTAGAACTTTAAATAGTCAGTTGATCCTTTGAGCTTTCAAACATCGTTTTTGCAAACAAAATTTACAAACATTTTGAACTTTTGACTTTTCACATTATTTTTGGAAACTTTAAATGTTGTTCTTAACTTTTTAAACCCCCCTCAAAACCCTTCCCTTTTCATAGCCCCTGCATATTCAACTTGCATTCCACACAGACCAAACCAATGTGCCTAGGAAAACAGGGGTAGTAGAGAGTACTGAGTAAAAGCATATGAAGTGTAGTGCTAAAGATGGAGGGCTTTTACTTTCACATAGCCCTTAATGTGAATGGCACTGAGGTCTTTATGACATAAAGCCACAAATATTGATCAGTGTAGCTGCTGCTTTACATGATAAAAAAAAACTACATCTGCTTTCATCTCTGAAGAGAGCGAGAAAATAGTTTTTTTCTGAAAAATGACTGACGAATATATTGCTGCACTTAAACAAAACGCTGTACAGTCTCAGATCTGGTGAAATATGCCTAAGGTGCTAAGATGGTGTGGTGCTGTAATACGGGGGATGTTAACCACGCTAATCTGCTGCGAATTTACTGCAAAGCTTTCAGATTGTACGAGTTTTTATTGAATTGAGTGTTTCGCCTGGTGAAAAACGTTTTCTTTTTTTCAGAGTGTTAGCTTGCTAACCGAACAAACATGCTGAACATATTCGAGCAGTTTAAATAAACGAAATAGCAGTTTTATCGAGTTAACCAGAACTTCACTCTGTAAAAAGTGCGCTAATGTTTGGTGCTCTAATTGTTTTCCTCTCTATTTTGTTTGGATGCGTTTTGAACTGTTACTTCTCTGCCGCTACCAGCATTTGAATTTACTTGAATATGGGGAGGGATCAGTAGAACCTGCGCGCATATGCATTTTTGACTTTTAGATGACCGCTGAAATACAGCCTCCTGAAATCGCCACGGAATAAAAAGCTAGCTATAAAACTCCTATAGGAGGAGCACTGCATGAGGGGGAGGGGCTATTCTGGTTAGTGGGTGTGTTTTAAATGGCTCCTCCCACTAAAACTGTGACACTCTCTTCACCCCTTTGGCTTCAAGCTGGTATGCGGTTTACCTTAAAGCGTGTTTAATTCAACGAGAAGTATATTTGTATATTTATAGGTAACTGCGTAATGCACGTCGATTATTTTTGCTAACAAAGTCTATGAGAGTTTAAGCGACAAATTAACGTTAATCATGATTAATATAAATCGGGCTAATATTATGCAATAGACTGTTGAGTAGTAGATTCGTCTCGTCTTGTGTTTTTCTGTGGTATTGATGAGAAGTTATTCAGTCGTCGTCTAATTCGATTGTTTGATTGCCTTAAAGGGATAGCAACTACAAAAATGAAGCCCAAATTAAACACGAAGGTACCTCCTCGAATATTTCAATTTCTTTTATTATTGGTTGTCTAATTTTTTTTTTTTTTGAGAGGCGAAGATTCATCCAGTGCCTTTTCGGATGGTGCTGTTCTTAGACCGATAAAATAAAACGTTAACGAAATATGAAGTTTATTAACACGATATACTGTATAATATGTGTTCAAGAGTGTTAAAACTGTGTGTGTGGGTGTGATTGTGCCTCTTTATTCGCCAAGAACACATTAATTCACAGAGCTTGCCAGTTACAGGGTCTCTGGACCAAACTTTCTACAAGGGATATTTGGCACTAATAGATCAAGCACTGTTTTCCTTTTATTATTCTCACTCATTTTTAACAGCCAGTGTCAAATCAAATCCCATATACTCTATAAAATAGCAATAATATAATCCGTAATGTCACTAATATTTGAGCTGGATTCCAGTTTGAGTCTTGGTTTTTTTTCATGGATCCTTCTGTTACATTTTTAACCTGTGATTTTTACGAATCTGTGATTAAACCCAGTACCAGCTTTTGTAAAACTATGCAAGTTTCTTCTCGTCTTGAAGGAGCTTCATGGAATTGTTCACAGTCGGCACTCTTTCCATTGTGACGCAACACATGTTCAGCGCTCTGATGTAATTCTTTAGTTGATGGCGTGATGAAATCTTAATGAATTAATAACAGAACTGTCTATAGGCGTGTATGTATACATATTTGTCCCTTTTATTTTATCTGAACCTGATTGTGGTCTTTCATTTGGGGCTTTTTATTTGGTCGTTCTATTAAATTGTCGATATTTTCATTAAAACTGTATGTCTGCAGACTTGTATGACGGTTATGTCTATTGAACTGTTTGTCTTGGACAGAAACATTACACGTGAAATAAATATTGAATGTGCGTGAAGTTTTGTGTTTACTGTGTAAGAAAGAAGTGTAACGCTTGGTGTCAAAGATGAAAAATATAAAGAAAAACACATGAATAATTATTTTATATGCATATAAATTAAATAAAAACAAACGTAAAATGCTTAATTTTTATTTAGTAACATTTGATTTAAAAAAAATAAGGAAAATGACAAAAGCTGACCAATTTTATCAAAATAGTAATAGTTGACTAGAAAAGTAGTTCTAGACAAACTTTATGGTGGCTTAAGAACGCTTAGTCTGAAAGTTTTAAGATGTTTGAAACAGTTGGCATAGGCAAGTACATGTATATTAGCATTGCTAGGGTGTTCTGAGTGGTTACTAAGGCGTTGCTAGGTGGTTGCTAAGATGTTGCAACGGTGTTCTGGGTGGTTGCTAAGGCCTTGCTAGGAGGTTGCTAGGGTGTTCTAGGTGGTTACTAAGGTGTTCCTAGGTTGTTGCTAAGGTGTTCTGAATGGTTGCTTGGTGGTTTTTAAGGTGTTCTAGGCCATAGTTAAGGTGTTCTGAGTAGTTGCTAAGGCGTTGTTAGGTGGTTGATAAGGTGTTGCTTGGGTGTTCTGAGTGGTTGCTAGGCAGTTGCTAAGGTGTTGCTAGGTGGTTGCTAAAATGTTTTTAGGCTGTTGCTAGGGTTTTTGCTAGGCAGTTGCTAAGGTGTTCTGAGTTGCTAGGCAGCTGCTAACATAAATAAACATGTTGCTAACAAGTTTCTAGTATAAACTAGCATGTTGTTAGCATGAATTATCATGTTGCTAGTATGATTAGTATGAATTAGCATTGGTAGTATGATTAGTATGTTGTTAGCATGTTTCTAGTATGAATTAGAATGTTTTCAGTATGTTTCTAGTATGAATTAGCATGTTGCTAGTATATTTCTAGTATAAATTAGCATGTTACTAGTATTATTAGTGGGAATTAGCATGTTGCTAGTATGATTAGCATCTTGCTAGCAAGTTTCTAGTATAAACTAGCATGTTGTTATGAATGAATGATGTCATGAATTTAATATGAATTGGCATGTTGCTAGTATAATTAGTGTTGTAAGTATGTTTCTAGTTTGAATTTGCATGTTGCTAGTATGATTAGTATGAATTAGCATTTTGCTAGTATGAGTAATATAAATTAGCATGTTGCTAGTATGATTGGTATGTTTGTTAGTGTGTTTTAGTATGGATTGGTATGTCATTAGTATGTCCAATGTAAAGTCAATGGCAGTTTTTTTTACAATGGAAGTCTATGGAACAGTTGCTAGGGTGCCGTAAGTGGTTGCTAGGGTGTGGCTAAAAATTTTAAAGCTCATCATTGGTTGGCAGATCGGTAGTCTGAGTTAAATGAGCCCAACCTTAAGTCTGCATGACTGTCTGGCGCAAAATTCTGAGGGCACAAATTTGGTCCAAAGTTAAGTCAGTGAGACTTTTATAAATTTTCTGGGTCCCTTTTGGAAAACCGAAAGTCGGATCAGTTAGAAAAGATATTACAACCCGAGTCAGACCAGTTTGGAGGTTTGATGATTTCTTAAAATAGTTTAAGAAGAAGAAGACTGAAGAGTAATGAGTTTATGTAGAATAACAGCATGTCTGCTTTCTCAAGCCACTATAATTAAAAAAAGCTATCAAAATATTAATAAAAACTGGAATATTACTAGAAGGTCATATAAAACAATCCTGAAACAGCACTGCTGTGATTGAGTTGTGTCTCAGTGATTTGTACAGATGTAAACAAGTGAAGCAAGAATGACTAGTACAGCAACATTAGTTAAATAGAAATGTTCATAAATACTTTATTAATCCCTCAAAAAAAAGTAAAATACCCCAAGAACCATTACTTGATTAGCTAGATGCATCCCATTGCTCAAACATACTTGGTAACAGTTCAGTCATACAGAATAAAATCCTGACATTACAGATTTCTACCACATTCTATGAGCATGAAATGTTTACTTTAAATATTGACTTGATACTGGTGTAAAGTGCCATTTGAAATGAAACTGCAAGGTGCATCTTCAGAATAACTTAATGGCTTTGTTCTCAGTATAATATAAGCACTATTGCACAGACTCAAACTATCCCCCTCACACCATTCTTAAAGAGACTATAACACAAAATCAGTTCTGTGGCTTCTAGTTCATGTCAATGAGCTTTTAAACCATCTAGTGTACAAAAATACTAGGTTGTCTCAACACGGGTGTCAAACTCAATTCCTGGAGGGCCCTTCACAGTTTAATTCCAGCTCTGTTTCTTCAACTCCCCTAACTTAAGGTATCAAACAAGCCTAAGCACTTAATTAGTTTGATTGGGTGTGTTTAATTAGGGTTGGAACTAAACTGTGCAGAGCTGCTGCCCTCCAGGAACTGTTTGACACCTGTATCTGAACCCAATTTTAACCTAACAATTGGCACAAACCAAAATGTTGGGTGAAAAAGTGTCATTTAAATTGAATTGAAAAAACAGCAATGGGGTTGAGCACATGTGACCCCACATTGAGTTATGACTACCTAGCATTTCTTAAAGCGTCCTCCTGCTGTCTAATAGCAAATGATGGCCATCGCTGTGACGTAAACTACAGACTACTTTATAGGTTGAAGTCCGCACTTCCTCTTCAGTGGGAATAAACCATTTGTTGGGTGTTTAAAAAAGAATACAAAATTTGGATGAGCTGAGAAGCATTGAAGTGTTTTATCTTGTTTTGCTACAAAATAACTAGAAATATGTCCCACTGAATGGATTAAGTGCTGTTGTCTGCTCCAGTTTTTGGCAGTTCCAATGGGTTTTCGGCAGTGAATCTCCAGTTCCATTTTGTAGATGGTAAAAACAGTGTCACGTCATCCTCAGGTGTCTATTCAAAGACTCTGAAACAGCAACAGAACAGTTACTGGTCTCTGATCATAGATATATACACTAGATATCGCATAGGGACCCTGAGCATGCGTCAATAGCGCCGCCACATTGGTACAGTGCTCCCAGGACAAATGTCATTCAACCGCACTAGTCAAGACAGTGTTATTACGTGAAGACGCGGGACTTTAGCGCTGTCTACGGGTGTAGTAACGAGCAAACAAAGAAAACAAAGCACACAGGCAGAACATTTCATAGGTAATATTAAGTTTTTTTTCTGTTTTTGTATGTTCTGAATTTTTGTGCTAATCAGGTAACGTTATTGATGATAACAGTCACTTACCGCATTCACCATACAGCAAAGCAGCTCCAACTCGCACTAAACACTCGACTTATGCTAGTTTTGTTTAATAAAATCAGCAAACAATGCAAAAGAAATATGACAACGAGATGCTGCGCTGCCAGAACCTTGTATTATTGTCGGCTAACGTTAGTGAAAGAGTCGTTCGGGGGATTCATTCACAAACGAATCGCTCCCTCAGTCAGTATGAGAAGTGAAAGCAGGAGAGGACGGAGCTGTGTTTCAGGACATGATTAGATCAAATTTAACAGGGAGGGTGGATAGTACATTTCCGTACACACAAACACACGCTTTTTGTCAGGAATGCCCGTGCGGTCACTGATCCATCAATGTAGAAAAGTGATGTAAAATTATAATTTTCGTAATTAGAAAAAAAAATTACATACTAACATCCAGGAAAACTCCCGATCATAGATATATGTGTTTATGTGTATATCTCTGGCTTTGGATGGCCACAGTCCACCACTGTACCTTGGTCCCGCATTCATTTCAAAGGAGCGCTACCCTGTACCAAGATGGCGGCGCTATTGACGCATTTCGTCCAATAGACAACAATAGGCCAGGCGACATCTAGTGTATATATCTATGGTCTCTGACGAAGTAAGTAGCAGTGTGTAATCATGCTAACAGCTAATCTTTAAGCACTAGTATTTAATGTCATCTTATGGCAAGCCATTTTCACATTTAATATATATTTTTCCAGATAATACAAATTTTTATATGTCGTAAAAATGCTTTGGCTACTCATAAGCTACCACAGGGTAACTTTGCTATGTGGTGGGATTTTTTTCATTTGAATTCCATTTTCACCATTTAGATGCACCTATGGCCCGTTTCCACTGAGTAGTATGGTACGGTACGCTTTTATGGCCCTTTCCGCTGTCAAAATCTACCAAAAATCAATCTGTACCGTAGCACTTTTTGGGGAGCCTTTGCAAAAGGTACCTAGCAAAACAAAAGGGTACCAAAAGGTAGAGTGAGATGCGCATCGGTTTACAAAAAAGCGAAAACACAGGAGGGGCCATTTTTAAATTCACAGCTGAGACATTACACCGTAATAATATACACGTATAAAAACGAGCCATGGTCGAGCCGAGCTCAAACAAGCCTTGTCGTCGTCTTGATGAAGAGCCACAAAGCCAAGAAGAAGAACAGAATCTGCGCTGTCCTGTTGTTGTTGACAAGGCGAGTGGTTACACTTTTTAAAGCGAGCTCTTTGCTGCGCTTGCTGTGTGTCTATATTTAAAATAACGAACTTGAGCTTATGATACTAACGTCCGCGTGATTATTGAAGTGATTCTGATATCCTTTCAGAATCCGACAAATGCAAAGGGAAAGTGCAAAAAAACAAAGGAGAAATGATTCTTTTAGCAACCTAAAACATAAACAAACTTGCCATGTTTAACTATTATCATCGCCTTTTGACTATTATGAACTCGGAATGACGGAATTACTTTCTAACAAGATGTTAACGTTACATGTGCTGGAGAAGAATAGAAATGACAGGTTTGTACTGACTGTAAATCAGGGGTGCTCAATCCTGTTCCTGAAGATCTACCTTCCTGTACAGTTCACCTCCTACCCTGATCAAACCCACCTGAACCAATTAATTAGGACCTGAAATCCACTTGATAATTAGACAGGTGTGTTTGATAAGGGTTGCAACTGAAATCTGCAGGAAGGTAGATCTCCAGGAACAGGATTGGCCACCTCTGCTGTAAATGTTTCGTATTGTTTATGAACCCAAATGATGCCTAGATGTATGTTTTGGGTAACATTTCAGAGATT